ATTTCACTTTTATATATTTTTATAATTATTTATTTCACTTTTTGTAATTTTGAAAAATGTATAAATAGAGATGCTGTTTGAGCCTTAACTTGACATGTTGTAACTAAAAATAAAAACCTCTCTTAACAAAAATCTTCCTCCAAATACTTTCTGCCTCTCATATTTTCTTTATATATTTCAAATCTTGTGTATAAGTGATTTTATATTATATTGAACCTATCAAATTACTAATGGCTTTATATCATATTGCACTAAGCAAATCACTATTTTTGACTTTGGGCTTTATATCGTATTGTGCCAAACAAATCACTGTTATTGAATTATTGAGCTTTATATCATATTGTACTAAACAAATCGTTATATTAGAATTATTGAAATTGGATTTATAAGTATTTTTACTTTTTGTTATTTTGAATTTTTAATTGTTAACGAATATTTCTCACTTGTGAGAAGAACAAAGTGAAAGAATCTTTGTTATTGTTATTACTAATCATATTATCTTAGTTTTAGAAAGCTTTACGTAAATATAGAATTACTCTTTGAATTTTCTTTATTATTTCTTTATTCTCTCTCTCCTTTGATCTTTCCTTTTCTATAACTTTTCCATATTATTATTTCTTTTTAAGTAAACACAATTTCTATAGAAATTGACATAGGTCTTAGATACCTCTCTTCTCTCTTAATATTTTCTTTATCAGTTTATACCCTTTTCCAATCCAGATTCTTGTTTGTAAACTAATTTAATGATTAGTGAACAAACTTGTAATAATGCTTCTTTTATACAAAATTGTTAAATCAAAATTATCAATGATATTCACAAAAAAATTGCTTATTCACTTGCTTGCTTGCTTGTTCACTTGCTCACTTGCTTGCTTACTTGTTCACTCACTTGATCACTTATCTTGTGATCCAGTATAAATATAGATCATTTAGTATAACCTAAATAAATGATCTATATATTATTTGTAAATAATAATATAAATGTAATACAAATAATAATATAAATAATAATACAAATAATAATGTAATACGAAGTGTAAATAAGAAGATCTTAACTAATTAAATATAAACATGTGTTCTCAAAATTATCCAATAAGATTAAATGATAATTTTGACTAATAATTAATGTGAAATTCCATTATACAACAATATTAGTGATTAGTATTAAAAATAGACAAAGAATATTAAAAAATTAATAGCAATTAATGAATTATCAGACAATTTTTGGAAAATACTTATCTTTGATTATATTCAAAGCTAAAAATCAATTTGTAAAATTTTAATTTTTATTATTTTATATAACAAATATACAAGAAAGTGATTAAAGAATTAATTTTTATCATTTTGCATCTAATATTCAAAGAATATTATTAATTAATTAAAAAATACTTAGCTGATTATACCAAAAATTTTATTGATACTATTGATCAAAATGTATGAATGTTATTATTTACAAAAAAATTCTCCATCAGATTCGTTATAATTGTAAATTTTATTTTTGCAACTTTTAATTTTTTTCTTGTTTAGGTAAAGGCAAAATATCACAATAAACACAATAATTATGCTATTACTACTCAAAATATGATATTTTTAATTTTCAGTGAAGAAAAATTAACAAGAATTAATAATAATACTACTTTTTTTATCTAACAGGATGAAAGCAAACTAATAAGATGCAATATGCATATAATAAACTCTTCAAAATATTAAATATTAATTATATAATTTTTAAATAATATAAAGAAAAAATACTAATAGTTATTCATTATATTATCATCAGTCTGTGATCTTTACTGATGAAGATATTTACAAGATAGGTGATAGTAACTGTATTCACACAAAAATATATAATATAAATCTTTTTAAAATATGAGTTCCAATGTTAAGTAATAAAAATTGTATTTATAATTATATTATCACAAGTGAAGCTTTATAACTAATATGAATAATAATTCAACACGTAATAAATTATTATAACAAGAAAGACAAGAAATTCAACAAGAATAAGATAATTAGAATAATCAGCAGTCTGATCTATTCTTTATTATTGTCAAGACCAAAGATAAAGTACAAGATATTCAATTTTCTATGTTAAATTACATTTATTTAAAGTAATACAGATCTACAAGATTTGTAACGATATAAAGAACTAATAAAATAATAAAGTTATAATATGTGTAATGTCAAGAAATAATAAATATAATACAAATTAATCTAAGTATTATAATTGAAATTAGCGAAATATTAGTATTACATTAAATAAATTAGATGAATTAATAATCAAAATTAAATAGATTAATAATTAAAAATCAAAAACTAATAAAATATAATAATTAATAATTAATAAAAATTGTGTAATAAATAAATAAAATGATTGGTAATTTATAATATCACTAGATGTAAATAAAAGATAATTAAAAATAAATAAATAAATGGATAAATAAATATTTATAAATAGAAATTGATTAAATATCACTCGGGATCTGATAATATCTCATGTCAGGTGATCAAGTAAAAAAGTGAATGGTAACACTATAATTAAAGATAAATAACATATATTTGTGTTATAACAAATTAAAATAATATTTACTAACTTTAATAAGTTTATTTTATAACTTTAAAAATTATAAACAAATTATAACTTGAAATATTTTACAAGTTATTACTAAAGTTTTATTACTAAGATATTTATTATCTCCAAATACTTATTCAAATTACTAGCTAAATTATATTGTTTTTATAATTTTACAAGTACTACTTTAATTATAATACTAATATTATTTTTGTTATAATTTAAATACCAATTTATCATTTTATTGGTTTTGCTATAATTATTACACTAATTTAGCTATGATTTATATGCTAACTTTGCTAGAATTATTAACTTTTTTATGATCACTATGCTTTGTTTTATCATCTAATATCTAGTATTCAATAAAATATGTGTAATAATTATTCAATAATATTGTGATATAAAGTGTCCAATAAGATATAATTAATATAATAAAAGTTCATATCACAATAATCTATGCAAAATTATATTAATATCTGAGATTTGATTATTCTAGAATATTAGATGAAACCTCATTAATAATTCTAGCTAATAATCAAAAAACTGATCAGCCTAATTAGTTGATTTTTAGTACAACATTACTAAATTTATTTTGTTATTATTGTACTGACTAGTCAAAAAAATCAACTTTAACGCCACGATTAGCGTTAAATAGTACTAGATGTTACTGTTTTTATATAATTTGGATTTTATTTGACGATAGCGCCAAATTTTACACAAAAGTGATCCCTAGTTTAATTTTTACATCGATTGAGCAAAAAAAATTTTTCGTCAGATGTCGATTTATTTGATATTATCCAAAATAAAATGTTACACTATTAAGTTTTCAAAAAATTACTAAAATTGATCATTCCCTTCATTATTATTAAGAATTGTCCATGCAAATGCTAGATGATGTTTAGGATTATTTATTCGGCCCGCCTTATTGTTCGCTCGAGTATTCAATTTCTTCTTCATCCCGTTCTTGGATTTCTTCATCTTCTATGTGAGCGTCATAATCATAATCGTCATCGTCATCCTCTTCCTGCGAAACATCGTGGATTTCATCTGGTTCAGCATCACCGGACTTGATGGCTTTCTTTCGAAGTTGAGTTAATTCAGCTTTGCGAGCACGTCGTCGATCCACTTTTTTCTTGTGAATCTTTTTATCCATTTCTTCGTTTTTTTTATGCAACTCACGCCATTGGTGGCTTAATGATTTCAGATGTTCACTTGCTTCTTGGTACACTTTCTCCTTGTTTTCGGGTGATAAACCTTCAAATGTGAAACGATCGATATTATGTCGTATATCTTCGGGCAATTCTTCATATGAGATTGCAGTAGCATCAGGTGAACGTGCTCGTCTCGTTACAGGTTTGATTTTCTTTGTGGGATCTTTAACACCCTTTGTGGAACCCGTTTCTGTCTCTTCAATAAATATTGGAGAAGTGGAGGAACCAGCTGTGGTGGTAGCTGCGGTTTTCTTTCCTTTTGATTTATAACCTTTGCCTTTTCGACTGGATTTTCTAACAGGGGATTCGTTATCTGATTGCTCATAATCAGATAAAGTCTCACGGCCTCGTTTACTAGTCTTTTTGGACGAACTGGATTTGTCAACGGAAGGAGATCCTGAATCAATAGGGGAAACACCTTCGATGTCAACCGGGTCATCGGATTCTATGGGTATTTGCGTAGACAAGCGTCGTCGTGTGATTGCCTTTTTCTTTGAGGCGGTATCATCAATTGTAGAGTATTTATCCGGTATTATTGCATCCTCAATTATATCTGCCAATTCGACTGATCTACTAGACGAAATACTTTGTTTCCGTGACGTTGTCCTGCGACTTGATTTTTGGTGCTTGCCGGCAGGCGTCGCTCCGGTATAAGTTGCCACTTTTTCTTTTACTAATGGCGATGATGATCCCCCTTTCCTAGTAGCAGTAGCAACAGTGTTAGAAGACACGAAAGGTAATTTTCTGCGCGTAGATTTCGTAATCGCCTTTGGTTCAGTTTTCGTCTTTGTGGAACTCAATTCATAAGTATCACTACGTTCTTTTCCTTTTCGTGAGCGCGTAGATTTACGAGTAGTCACCAGGCCACTACCGTCAACTGCATCCGTGTTATTAGAAATAGAATGATTATTTGTGTTTATTACCGGAATGATTAACGTATCCGCGGGTCGCATCCAGTAGTCCCATTTGAATTCTTTATCCGGCTCGCCGGTTGCTATGCATTTGACTGCGTTTAGTACGCCAATGTGATTAATAAAGTCTGTGCCATATTTTTGTTTGTATTTGAGAAATGGATCCGTATGTATATCGAATTTCTTGATCTCCTTTAACGGTACTGCAGAACTATTATCATTATCATCATCATCATCATCATATAGAATAAAAAGAGATAAATAGGTATGCAAAGGATATTATAAACTAGCATTTAATTAGTTGCCATTGCTTACTATGTGCAATCCTCAAAATATTTCACTATGACCTCATTGGGTCCTAACTCGTCAAATCCCATAGATTCATCTACTTCGCCGTGAGGAACGACCTGTGATCAAATTAAGACAAAAACGTCAATATCATTAATCGATCAATCAATGACAGATTATAACGTAATGATATTGAAAGGATAATAATATATTTACCATAGCGGGCCACCAAAACTTTTCAGTTTTATCACGAGGATCAACTGGAAGTTAAGAAATTTATAGTAAACGAGATTAATTTGTGATCAATCAATCGAATAATAATAAAATGATTATTAATTTTCTCACCAAAAACTACTTCTCTTCCAACAAAAGCATGATTGGACGAAGATTTTTCCAGCTTTTCTATCTTTGGCCGTTGATAGATTGACGACTCTTTGTTACTATATTGACTTCTGGTTCTTCGCACTGGTCGCGGGGGGGCTAAAAATATTAAGTAAATTAAAAATAATAATATAACAACAACAACAATAACAACAATAATAATTATAATTATTATAATTATTATTATTATATGTGCTTAAAGTAATATTTAATTGTTAATATCAAAGCTAATCATGAAATATTTACTGGCCACACTTTCGTCCTCATTGTCTTCTTGGTCGTCTTCTTTTTTCACGGTAAATGTTTCCTCTTCAGCAGCATGGTCTTCGTTTTCATTTGCTTTACCTTTAATTTTCTGGCGTTCGTTTTTGCTACGACTGTTACTTCTCGATTGCTGAGATTGCTCTTCCTCATTTTCGAGAAGCGAGTCGAGATTAGTGGCGGAAGTCTCTTCTTCTGGTTCCTCCGTGAGGAATTCACTAATAATTGTTTCCTCCAAAGGTTTAATACTAGACTTGTCTTTTTCATTAGTGACGAAAGACTCGTCTTTTTCGTCAGCTTCACTTTGACTTGTGCTCAACGAGTGAAGTGGTTGTTGGTTCTCTTGGAAATTTTTTTCTTCCTCGTCGCCTTCCTTTCTGTCGTCTTCTTTTCTGTCGTTACGAAGTTGCTTTTTTTCTTTCATCTTTAGTATAAGTTTTTTTAGTACTTCTTTTTTGCTTAGTGATGCTTTTCCCTTTTTTACGAGAGTTTTTGCTTTTGAAGAGGAGTTTAGTTTTGACTTCTTTCTAGTGGAAGGATTTGAGTTTATAGAGGTTATTGCAGCTGTTACAGAAAAATCTGTCCCTCCACTATCATCCGTTTTTCCAGGATCATGTGATTGTACCCATGAATCGTCCAATGGTTGATCAGGTAAGTCATTACTGCTAGAGATGAGTGTCGTCTTTTTAGCTTTATTTGGCGTCTTTGATATTTTTGAGTTACTCGATTTTTTTGTCGAAATTGATGCTCTTTTCTTCTTTAGTCCTGTTGTTGAAGTTTCTGGACTATTAGCATTACTTTGTGGTTGGTCTGTTGGTGACATTGAATGCAAACGCATATCATTATCATCATTCTTATCTTTATTACTATTAATTAAGTCATCATCGTCTACAATAACGATCTGTGGTGGTTGTTGCTTGTCTACATTATCATTTTTATTATTCTTTTTTATTGTATTCCGTCTTTTATACTTTCTGGTAGGTGCATTGGGATCTTTTGCTCGACTCGTCTTGGTCTTTGGTTCATCTTTCTCGTTTTCATTGTTGTTCTCTTCTACTATAACGGGTTGAAGGCTTGATAATGAAAAGAATTCTTCGCGAAGACGCGGGTCTGTTAAAAACCAGGTTGTTCGATTCTGTATATCATTAATATACATTTTTAACAGTAATGATAATGGCATATGTATAGTATTCTTAAATTGCGAATTTTTTCCAACAAAATTGTACTCGAGTTTCAATATATACAAATAAAAATAAATACCCTTTCATAGTGAGCATTAGCTGATGTATTTGTCGCCATTGTAGAGAAAGAGAAGCTTTTTTTGGGTGGTTCTCTTTCGTTTTTCGTATTGTTGTTTTTTTTAAAGTCGTGATGATACCGACGAAAAGGCGCTCGAAAAATTCACAGCAGCCGAACAGAAAAAAGAGAACGACATAAAAATTTCCGTCGTCCTTCGCTCGCTCTTGTTCGCTCAAAATTCGTGCCTCGTCTTGATGCACAACAACTTTTCTCTCATATAATATATATTTATCTTCCTGTCGAAAATTAATTATATACTCATATATTTTAAAGAAAAAGACGAGCAACTCGAAAAAAAGCAGAATTTCTACTCGTGTCTCGATTTTTTTTGGGCGCGTGACTAATTACCTCTTTTTGTGTAAATATGATATATTTTGGGGCTTTGCTTCTTTCATTTATTTATTTTATTTGATCATGACTCATTATCGTAATTCATCAACGCGCGTTGGAAATCGAGAAAGTATTTTACGCGACCAAATATCTAAGGGTCCGGGGATAGGCCGATTTATTTTAATGACGTATTTGTATAAGTTTACCTTTTAGATTAATAATTGTAAATTCATCCCTATGACAATTTTAATAAATAGACTAAACAGAAAAGGTCATATATTCGGAAATACTCAGATGTACATCATATGGTTTTTCCTAAATGACCTTATTGTATGCTATATAAATTATTTAGACCAATAGAATTCTGACACGGTATTATTTTGACGCGTTGATACTTTCTATATTTTCTACGCGTGATCAGATCATTCACTATCGCTATCTTTTCTTTACTCGAACTTAATTCACCCGATCTTTAAATTCACTCTATCAAATAAAATGAATTCGTTCATCAATTTGGAGTTGTTACAGTCTTCGTTTTTGCTCGTAATCTTTTTTATATCGTTTAGTCATGCTTTATATAATACAAATGGAGATGTGGTTATACTCACAGAGAAAAATTTTCGGGAGCAAGTGATCATGACTGAGGCGAGTCTTGTTCTTTTATCGTCTTTGAGTTTTTAGCAAATCCGGGATTTCTTTTAAATAATTAAACTAACTTGGATGTTTGTGTTTGATGTATTTTATAGAAAGTTGTTTTGGTTGAATTTTTTGCGCCTTGGTGTGGACATTGCAAAAAGTATGAAAAGAATTAATAATATCAAATATTTTGAAACTGATAAACTCACACAAAGCATCGTATGATAATAAAATAGTTTAGCACCAGAATACAAAAAAGTCGCAAAAAATCTCAAAGGCATAGCAAGAGTGGCTGCAGTAGATTGTGACAATGACATGAATAAAGTCATATGTAAACGTTATGATATTAAAGGTTCTTGAAGGTTTTTTTCAAAATTATTCAATATTATATTTTACTGCTTCGATCCGAGTAATTGAATTTTTAATTCCTTATAAGGGTTCCCAACAATTAAACTTTTTCCGAGTCAAAGTGTGCCTGATAAGAAGAATCCAGGCGCATTTACGAAGAAACCGAAAGGTAGTTAATACGATGCAGACCGATTAAATTACCCAGAAAAAATAATTTTAATTAAAATTATCGATAAATAGATTACCAAGGACCCAGAACTGCAAAAGCTATCGTGGACTATGTTCTCGGGGAAATTCCTTCATTCGTACAACCAATCTCCAATAAACATCCAACAAAGAAAACTCTAACTATTGATGAATTTCTTGAAAAAGACGTGAGTTTTTTATTTGAATTAACTCTTGCTAAAAAAAAAATCAAATAACTCATGTATGCTTGCATACGAAATTTCGCTGAATTAAATTAGAACGCTACACTTCCGAAGGCAATATTATTCACCAACAAAGAACGAACAACACCCTTATACAAATCACTCTCAATTGACTTTCGTAATCACATGTTGCTTGGTGAAGTACGTCAATCTGAATCGGAAATTCTGAAAAAATTCGGGATTAATAGTTTTCCAACGTTGTTGGTGATCCCGGCGGGTGAAAGTGATGCAGTTGCATTTGATGGTATGTCTGTTTTTATGTAAGATTTTCTATGTGCTTATCCAATTCGATTTTTTATGTATTGATAAATTTTATGTAATTAGGAAAGTTGGATCATGGTTTGATATTTGAATTTTTTACAAAATACGCACCATCGTCTTCAAAGAAATCACACACCAAAAAATCAGAGAAATCGGAGTCTAAAAAGGCGAAGGATAATGAAAACGTCAAAAAAGACGAACAGCCAGTTGAACCAGAAATATGTATGCGTTAATAAAATACTCGTTTTTCTTTTTCGAATATAATAATCACTAATATTTTAATCTTTTCTTTCCGCACTACCATCAAACAGTTAACTCCAATATATCACAAATACAAACCCAAACAGACCTTGAATCACAATGCACATCAAAACTTACCGGACTCTGTATACTCTCATTTATCCTACTGGAACCAGAATTTCCAGAGTCAATAGCCGAGAACGAAAGCAACCAATCAATTCTCCGTCGCGTAAAAGAAAAACTACACAATGAACTTTCCGTGAAAATTAATCTCTACTTTAGCTGGTTGAATGCTCTCGACGCCGGTGCACAGAAACTAATCAAGGAGTTTAAATTGTCGGATGTTTATCCGACTTTGATGATTTTGAATCCGAATCGTAAAGTTTTCCGGCCTTTTTTGGGGCCTTTTGAAGATGTGGCTATTGAAAAATTCATAAAGGAAGTGGTTAATGGAAAAGGAAAAAGCTTTGCTTATGATTTCCAGGTTGATTTTGGTAAAGCTAAAGCTGATAAGGATGATTATAATGAATCTACTAATACTGTTAAAGAAGAAAAAGAACAAGAAACCGAAAATGTCGAGCCAAAAGTTGCTAGTGATGATAACAAAGACACTAAACACGATGAGTTATGAAATTTATTTATAATATTTATATAATAATATCATATATTTATTTATATCGATATATTTATATTTATAATAAAATTTATGGATAGATTACACATGTTGTGACTCATTTAAAAAGTACACCGAAGATTTTCTGTAGCAGTGGCAGGAAAACAAGTACATGTAGTTGTTTCATTTTTTACAGAGTAGAAAGTGATCTACGTGTAAAGAGTAACACAACATTCCAAAAAGAGCTATCTCTTATTTGTGAAAATGATAACATTAGTAAGTTTCTTTAAACAAACCTTGAAACGAAATTTTTGACAATCTCCGACATGGTCAAAGATCAATCGCACCAACAAAAATATTCCTTTCAACAACAAACACAGCAATTACCTTCACACCACCTTTTCCATCTTAATAATAACCCGCAGCCACAGCAGCAGCAACAACAGCAGCAGCAACAACAGCAGCAACAACAACAGCAGCAACAACAACAACAGCAGCAGCATTATCACACTAATCATCCACAACCACCTCCTCCCGCTTTACAACAGCAAAATTTACCTCCTGGTGTCCCCGCGGCACTTGCTAATAATTCTTATAACTCTTTACCCGTATCACCAACTTCGCCCGCATTATTATCTAATAACGCGAACAAAATTCTTAAAGGGTTAACGATAAACCCATCAGCAGCATTACCACCCTTACTAAATTTACAGCATGCCAATGTTAACACTACGAGTTCGTCTTCTTCCGCATCTTCATCTGCTGCATTATCATTAAATCCGTATACGAGCTCGTCTTCGCCTGGGTTATCTACCTCGTCTACATTAAATCCGTATCCGAATTCATACGTTAGTTATTCGCAACAGCAACAATTCTTTGCTCAATTACAAGCTTCCCAACATCCGCACGATCTACAACCTAATCAAATGAATAGTGGACCTAATAGCAATGTGAACGTTAAATTTCGATTATCGGATTTTTCCATCTGCCGTACTCTCGGCACAGGTTCTTTTGGTCGAGTACATCTTGTGCAATCCAAGCGTAATAGCAAATATTATGCAATGAAAGTTTTGAAAAAAGCAGAGGTCGTTCGTCTTAAACAAGTAGAACACACGAATAACGAGAAACGTGTATTGGAACAAGTCAATCATCCGTTCTTGGTGAATTTATGGGGGTCATTTCAAGATAATGCAAATTTATATATGGTGATGGATTATGTGGTTGGTGGTGAATTATTTAGTGTACTAAGGAAAGCAAAGGTAATTTTTTTTTTTACATCATGATACATTTGAATATACACTATGTAATGGGTAATGCTAATACTGATCAAATAATTATTAGAGGTTTCCTGATCATGTCGCAAAATTTTATGCAGCTGAAGTCTTACTCGCATTTGAGTATTTACATTCGAAAGATATAATTTATCGTGATCTTAAACCTGAGAATCTATTATTAGAAAGGAATGGACACATAAAGATCACAGATTTCGGGTTTGCAAAACATGTACCCCATAGAACATGGACACTTTGCGGTACTCCAGATTATCTCGCCCCAGAAATCATACAGTCTAAAGGCTACGGGAAAGCAGTGGATTGGTATTCACTTGGCATATTAATGTTCGAGATGTTGGCTGGTTATCCACCATTTTACGACGAAGATCCGATGCGATTATATGAGAAAATATTGCATGGCCGAATAAAGTACCCCGCATATTTTGATCCAGCGGCAAAGGATTTAATAAAACGACTGTTAACCGCAGACTTATCAAAACGTTACGGAAACCTTAAAGGTGGTAGCGAGGATATTAAACGACACTCGTGGTTTAAAGGAGTCGATTGGGATCGTTTGCTGAGACGAGAGATTCAGCCACCATATATACCGAATGTTAGTGGTGATGGGGATGCTAGTAATTTTGATCATTATCCCGAGGAACGAGAGCCATATGGACTACCTTGTGCTGATAAACATCGTGACAAATTCCCTGATTTCTAAAAGAAGTGCTATTCATTAATTATCATTAATACATTCATTATAAGGGAGGGTTAAATTTACCTGCATGCAGGTAGTTAATTAATTAGTCGGTGGTCGTCGTATTGATTAAATCGGTAAAATTAATCTATAATAGGATAATTATTTGTAATTGTAAAATTAGCAGAGGAATTTTTCTCTATTGACTAGAGAAAAAACAGTTTCATTATTATCTCTCATCATCATCATCGTCATTATTAATAACTATTGTTTACCGAGTCGATTTCCTATTAGTAAATTCATTTAATTAATATATATATATATATAATTTTTTCTTCGTCAACATTGTAGAAACATGTATTGCATAATGATGTATTTATTATTGAAACGGTAAACAAATTCATCATGTTAGAGAAGATTATTTCTGTAAATATAATATATTCAAGAAGCTAGAATTTTGACAAATGATTTAACTAAATAAAAGAAGCGGACTAAAAATTATGGATTAATGTCGCTTATTATTTATTTGCAAATGGACCGTGCAGTTTGGACAAAACACGTCGACCACCGTTTTTTGGTACTTTTTGTTTTTGGACGATAGTAATATTTTGGTGATGCTTGGTTCCAAAGGACATATACGCGAATTCATTTTTGTCGGAGATTTTGAGTTCTTGGCGTTTGTTGATGATATCTTTCGCCAGTTTATATCTGATTGTGCTGGTTACCCCAAGATTCTTAGATTCGATGACGCGTTTGAACCAAGAGAATGGAAGCCGAGCGTAAATATTCAACAACTTTTGATAGCCATCGTCGTGGCACATTCCGTTTCTTGTTTCAATCACATCACGTCGATGATACTGATGATGGTGTCGATCCGTGTCGAAAGGATTGAACAATCTAGGTAGTTCATTGACCAAGAAGCTGAAACACGCGTCCTTAATAATTTTTGCATACTCGGTAGTTTTTTCATCAAAGGTGTTGATATAAGATAGAACGGTGAATTCCGTAATGTCTTTTTTAATTTCTTTGATATCCCAAGTCGAGAAATCTTTCAAGTTCGAGGAATACGCATTAATTTGAGAGACAGGAATCGCGTTAAACGTGACTGAATGATCACGACGTTGTTGTTTTGTAATCGTCTCTTGAAATCTATTTGGTTTTGAAGAATTATAATAAACTATAGATCCAGCGAATGATACTTTTCGTTTGATTTGTTTTTGATTCCCACAATTTTTTCGTAAAATTGACTTGGGCAATAGATTTGTGATTTGAGATCGATTTTCTTGTAAATATGAGGGTTCTCCGGGATTACTTGTCGTACCTGGCTTGTTAAGCGATTGTGTTGTCAAATTCTCATTAATGCCGAGTAATTGATTAGGTTTCGCGTTTGATTTATTGTGTGGAAGAGATTTATCATGTGCTAGTGGTTTCAAAGCTACTTGCATATAATGTTTGTTATTATTGTTTTTTTTCAAATTGGCCGGCTGATGTATTAATTTTCGTAAGGTTCGAGTTGAACTACCAACAGCACTCTGTTGATAACCGGAAGTCGGTATAGAATTTCTTTTTCCTTTAGGAATAGTCACAATCATTGTTGCAATGTAAATGTTAAAATGTCGATTGAGAAAATGAATTATCTAAAGACAGCTATGAACTTTAGCCTTAATTCAATGCCGCGTTCTTTTGCTAGCAACAACTAATGCAAATTGTTGAGTGTAAAGTTGTGCGGACAAAGAGTAAGAACAATTCAATAGAATTGGTACTAAAGACTATATAAGACTACGATTAGGATATTATTGCGATTCCTTTAACAAGTCAAAATAATATTTATGAGATAGCGATAGTAGAAGTGAAGATTTGCTTCTCGTAAATATTTTTGGACACTTGAATTAGTTCAATTCACTGAAGCAAGATAGAGTTAATTATTCTAAGGCACACAGGCAATTATTGTAATCAATTATTTAATATATACTGCTTTTTCAATATACGTATATGTAATAATCTAATTAATAAAGCTGCAATAGAAAAAATAAGCTTCTCTCTCTGGAAACTAGCATAAAATATCAATAGCTTTTTGTATTTTCACAAAAAATGTGTGGATTAAAAATTGGATGACACAATGTTCTGGATGATGCAGATAATTTGTAACGCGCAGGATTTTGGTGCTAGCGCTATGCGTTTGTGTCAGATTAAAAATTAAAAATTAAAATTAGAAATTAAAAATATACAAGTATATAATAGAATCCGTTTCCTTGATTCCTTTTTTAGAAATTTTATATTGATGTAATGGTAATTTCAATCCACATTAACGTAAATCTAGAAAAATCGAAATTTTAACCAATCAAACACAATAATGATATGATATGTACATATTTGTGTCTATTACTATTATATATACAGCAGTGTTTTGAAATTTGTTACAGATTGAAAATTATCGTTATCTAAAGCATACTGGGATTACTGTTTTCAGAATTCAATGAAAATTTGAATCTCGGCTCCTTGGGCCATATAGAAAGTTTTAACGGCTCTTTAGAAAGTGAAACGGTATTAGCCGAATTATATAGTCCAACAACAGCTATATTATTACCATGTCTATTATTAGCCTGACACACGATATATCGATCAAGCTCAGGGAGATCAGGATCAAAAGATCTAACAATCTCAACAAGAATATTACATGCATCGGTCCAAGGCGATTGAGATATTTCTACGTGTGTTCGCAATTGATACTGAAAAGGTCTTGTTATCACGAAATGGGATGACGGTGGCCAAAAATGGTGTACTTTTTTATCTGGCAACGTGACTTGTATCCCTACTGATCTAGTATCCGTGATATTGGAAATTTCCGCTTCAATAAATACCCGTAGCGGAAATCCCGCGACAAACACTTTATTTGAAGTTGTCTGTTTGATTAATTTCGCTTCACATCTTTTCACCATATTTCGGAGATCAATATCGTAAAGTGTAAAATTCTCCACGAAATCAAAAATCGGAATAATATTTGAGGTGGTCAAACCGTCTTCGAGTGTGATTTTTTGTAATAATTCACAGAGATCAACGAGACTTGCATAGAAAAAATCCTCATTTTTAAATTTTTCTTGAACAATTTGAACTCGGCGACTAAGTAATTGGATTAGATTCTTGATGGCAGATGGTGAAGAATCACTAAGGTAGGTTGGTTTTGAGACTCCAATTATCCATATAATGTTGGCGATAACACGAAGATTTATTGTGAAATGTCGAGCTCTGTCCGTGACTCCAAGGAAATTGTTTTCCATCGCATATGACAAAGTTATCAAATTTGCTGCATGTTTTACTGCCTTATCAGAAAAATGGTTTTGATGAAAACTTTTTTTAATTTCAATTATTGTCTGTAAACATTCAAGGTATAAAATTGCAAATTCTGCTTTTCCAGATAGTGATGATATTGTTCGTGCGATGTATATCAAATCCTTTGAGCAAACACCCACAATCGACAATGCACCCTTCCAATTATTAGCTTTCATCAGAAAACTTAGATTTACAAAAGCACCCAAAGTTTGTTCTATAAATTTATGCATATCGAGTTTACCTTTCTCAATCATACCGACTGTTTTTTCTTTAATGATGCTAGACTCCAATATTTCATCTTTTTCTTCAATGAGGATAGAATCCAATATTTCACCTTCTTCAACGCCGTCCATTGTTAGTGATTGAGTTAAATCGCCTTCCTGAAGAATTTTGATATCGGGAAAGCAATCCGGAAATTTTTCTCGAAGATAAACGTATTGTCTAAACGAATAGTCTGGCAACTTCTTTAATATTTTCTCATTTTTAGGCGAAGCGTTAAATGCTATAATTAGGTGCCCAATGTGCTGGGGAGATTCGAGATAAATCTCTTTTGGTTTGATGTAAGGTTCCAAATTAAAAAATCTCGGAATAAATTTTTCGATATAATCTCCGTTGATTCTTGCAAATTGAACAAAACAACGGAAAATAGATAATTGATCATCAGGGTATCTATCCATATTTTTCATCAGGCCTTCTATAAATTTAGCGGCAGATTCAGAATTCAAGAGTTTAATGACACTCAACATTCCACGAGTTGCTTCCCGAATTTTTGAATTGGAGTCTCCCAAAACATCGAGAGTATTCTGCAATTGTTCATAGTCTAAAGTAATTTTTGTACATGTTCCAATTTTCTGAAGACTATTTATGGCATTTAAACGAACGGAATCGATTTCATCGTGAAACATGTCAACAAGAAAATCTTTAGCACGTTCAGAAAACTTTGTGCTATACATACATAATTTGCATATAGAGTCAATAGAAGCATTTCTCACTTCTTGATATTCATCCTCTAAACCACGAATAAAAGCTCCACATGCACCAGAATCAAGTAACCGAAATTCATCTGATTCAACATCGAAATCTCCATCGGGTTTTGGCAATTGCCTTTGTTTCTTGCTTTTGCTGCCACCACCACCTGATTTAATTGGATTTTTACGTTTCAAATGAGACATTATTTCCTTACTAAATGTTTGCAAAAGAATCGCTTCACTAACATCCCGGCAGCTACCCAAGTTTGCGCAAGCTTTACTTCTAATTTTCACCGAGCCATCACTAATCATGTCACAAATTTTGATAAAAGCATCGTTTACTAATAAAATACTTTCTTTAGTCCCGTTGCCGAGTGGAATCTTTTCATTAGGATATAGACCACTTAATACCCACACAAGACTCAATGCCGCGGATCGAACTTGTTCATAATCATCCTTCAAACAATTGATTGACAATTGATACCATTTTAGATCGAGTATAGATCCCCGATGATGTAGCTCAACAAGCATCGTCAGAGCAATGTGACGAACTCTAGGATCTGGGTCGCGTACAAAATTATGAATGATTGTTTGAATTTGATCGTCGGTCAAAAATTCCAGGATTGTGGAATCTGACAAATTCTTGCTATTAAAATCGCGTTTAATTCGTGTAATGATCGGTGATAGTGTAGCCAACAATCGAAGTGAAATGGTTCTTATGCGGTGATGTGAGGATGACAATTCTTCGATTGCAAGAATAGAAAGTTGATGAATGGTGTCCAGAAAAGAATTTGAGCCGAGCTGTTGTTGTTCTAATTGCTTAATCTTTAGGATTGCCATTATCGAATTAAATATTTGACATTTTAATTTTGTCGAATCGGTCTGCACTTGACCCAGCAACGTGCTAATAATCAATCGACAGTCACAAGCAGAATCGAGCGCTAATTTTTCAAACAGCATTACTATGAGACATTTAGCATCTTTGTCTTTTTCGGCGGCTATCTGTGTTGTAAGAATTTCGAATAGATTACTTCTTGCATCTTGATTCAAGTTTGGAAATGCATTAATTAGAAGTTTAAGCGCATGGGTTCTTTCTCGTAAATTTGTAGACTCTAAATTATTAATATCCGGTTCATTCTTTAACGTGTTCTGTTTGAGATCAAGAACTACTTCAAACGCTTCCGAAAAATCCTCCTCAGTTTCAATTTCCTTTTTTTGACTTGAGAAAGAAAAAGAACGCTTCATTTTTTTTCTTATTCAAAATTGCATTTCTAAAGGATCTGTAATACCATAGCTCACGTTATGGCGCAGCGTCATTAAAATGCGAAAATTATTTATGCAAGATTAGCTAACATGGTACTTTGCTACTTCAAATAAAGACTAAAGAGGAAGTACCAGCTTTGACTAATGACAATGATAATCAATAATTGAAACAATTAAACTAATTTTCATAATGTTACGAATCTATATCGATATTGACAATAGAACATTCAAAGGTATTGATCGACACACAAATTCTATCATATCAATATACAATTTGAGAAATACTTCACTTCAAAAAAACTATTGAGAAATGACCACATTGAGCTTACACACATAAATATATTATATTGAACAATCCGTCAATAATGGAAAGTTAAATCTATTTTTGCTCATCATCCTTCTTTTTATCATCTTGCTTTTCTTCGCCTTCTTTCAGATCTGCTAACGCACTTTGAATCATCGGATCGTCAGGATTTACACCCGGCAGACCCCCAAGCACCGAATTCATAAATTGTGGATCTTGCATTACGTTGATATAGTCATTGGATTGCTGTTGTTGCTGCTGAAACAAAAATACAATAAATATATACATCTCTCTCGATAGACTCTAAAGGTCAAATAATATTAATAAATGCCATTGATGACGAATAAATTTACCCCAGATGATGTTTCTTTTGACAATTCAATGGCGCGCGCGATTTGTTCTTCTTCAGTCATTTCCATATCTATATCACCGGTCTGTGGGGTGAAAATAATTTAGAAAATATACTAAAGATTCTTTTAACTATATAAAGAGTTAATCTTTACGTGATCCTGTCCAGTTGAAACTGCTACACGCTCTTGTTCACTCGATACAGCATCCACAGCCATAGATGTCGATTCGGTTTCTGGAGCATTTGTAGTTGTAGCTTTTGCAGCTTCAGCTTCAGCTTCTTGTCGAGCTTTCTCTTCCTCCAGGGAGATTCTCAAAGCCTAAAATATATTGCAAATGTTTCTTAATATTGTATAATATTATAGACACAGTAGTGAAATAGGTAAATTACAAGAGCTAGTTCTGGATCAAGATTAGGATCGACTCCAAAGTCAAAGCCGCCACCAGTTCCGGAAGCAAAACCAGCAGGAAGTCCATCTTCGCCGGATATTATAGGCGAGGGTATTAGACGCTCGCTTAGAATATGCGGACCAGGAGGGATTGTTACGAGATGACTACAAAGAGAGAAAGATTATTCGTTTGGATATTGTATCCTGTATATTCAAACTTATCAAATACATACCTATTATCACTGCTGTTTACAGCCTGAATAAAAGCTTCAAGTTTCGATGTGTTTTCAGCCTCCTCACCAAAATTAACTATATCTACTGCCACATTATTCTTTTTGGTTTTCTTTGCGAGTTTTAGCAGAGCCTTTTCATCTGCGTTAAGTGGGCTCCCCACGAATACTACAATACGTTGTCGCTGATTTTTATTCTGTCGATGTTTTAATGCAAGCTATAAAAGAATAGAATAATTATCAATATAGTTAATTGTGCGCGTTAAATCCAGTAATGTTCTATAGCAGAAAAATAAAATACAAAATACCTGTGCGACCTGAATCCCTGTTGTGAAGTTCGCCTTTTCTCCTACTTTAATATTATAAGTAGCCGTCAGGATTTTTCCCGCATCCGAAGTTAATGTAACAAGAACTTCTGGACTATAGATCAATCGAAGAATGTATATCAGTGCATTAATTTTACTGGATAATGCAACATAAACGGAAAGATATTTAACATTCATCAACTTTACCCCTTCCCAGCCATGGTCATTAGGCCAACTGTATTTTCGGGATTTGACTGAGTCTTTGATTGAAATATTAAATTAACGGCATCCCTTTGAGCTTCTAAACGCGTTGGTGTATAATCGCCATTACGCATCCATTCAGAGTTGTCCAGCCTTTAATAAGAAATCAATATAACAAAAGCTTGCCCTATAACTAAACATCAAAAAAAAGATCAAATCTATTTCGCTTACACTATCATAGTAGCTTCTAAAGGCATTTTGATGCAAAAAGCTCTTTTGAAAATTAAAGGATTGTTATAATTTATTCTAAGGCCAATTTTAATTTTCGAGTGAGAATTTACGTAAACCAAATACGTCACTAATCAGTTATCGTTATCTGGTTGAATTTCTGTGTACCCAAACACTCATCACTTATCTAAATACCGATTTCTTGTATTTGTTCTTTTGAGATTTTAAATAAAATGACCAGTATAGCAGCAATAGGCCAAGATTTTATTACTGCAGATATAAATACAATAACATCGAAAGACTTGTTGACTACTACGAATGGCGTTAACGCATTCCCGGATCCTTCGGAAGATCTATTTTGGCAAAAAGCCACAAACATCAACGAGGTTGCTCATGAGGTTAATATTTCTTTTCCTGTGCCTTAGGGAGGAAAAGACGCTTGTTTCAAAAATATTCTTAAAAGATAAACGAGGGCATTTTATTTGAATATATGCGACCAAGTTTATAAGTTTCTGAAGCAATTGGTTTTTTTTAATGTTTGTAGCTTGATGAAGTATGGAATCCCGAAAAGCAACAGCAACAACAAAATTCTAATGGTATGAATACTAATAATATATACGAAAATACAATCGATAAAAAGAAAGAGAAGGAAGAAGTGACACAACCAATACCGCCTCCACCGAACGCCATCACTAATAACACGACGCGCCATTCTCGAAAAAGTAGTCGCGTAAGTTGGAATTTGCAAACAGATTCAGAGAAACATGTTGAATTGTTAGGTAATAAAATTTTTATATATAAAGTTTTTGATTAGATGATACTCATTAATGTTTGATCTGCTTTATTAACAGAGACAAAACTAAAAGATTCAATTGCAAATGCTGGAAAATTGAAGTCGCCAACTGCATCAGATTTTGGAGGTAAAAAACATACGCATTGATTATTAATTTCGATGAAGTTCTGGCTCATTTTACTAATTTATGAATTCGTATGCAGGTACAGCACTTGCCACACTTGGATATCATCCCGAAGAGTCGACTACAATAGCAACAGCATTATCAGCAACGATATCAGCAGAGAATGATGTTGATAATCTTTTATCACAGGAAGATTTAGGAGGTTCAGATATACCCCAAGAATATGACGAGGGGTTATGGTTGTTATGGCGAAACAATCGGCAATCATCAACGAATAATGCCGAAAATAATATTAATGATCGAAGAAAGAGTTTTTTATTACCGTTAATATCCCGGAACAATGGTTATATTAGTAATAATAATAATGATAATAATAATAGTAGCAGTAATAGTAATAATAATAATAATAACAGTAGCAATAATAATAGTATCCGTGAAAATAATATAGGAGGACAAACAACAATAGCACCATTAGAATATGAAAATTATGACGAGGAAGAAGAACAAGAGGATGATGAAACTTTATTAGATAGTGCACGTAGAAAAGTTGAAAAAGAATATTTATGGGGTGCTGGTTGGTGGTGGTGGAGTGCTGCTGCGATGACACAACGATGGATTGGTTGTGGTGTTTGTGGGTTGGAAGATGATGAAGTAATTGAAGTGTGGTAGTATTAATAGTTTTTTGTGTTGTTGCAGATTTTAATGATTTAGATTTTATATATGAAGCTATACGAAACAAAAAATTTGTACATTGAATCTCGTGCTTAATAATAAATATCCGTAGATAGATCAATTTTCCTTTGAAAGACGGCTATAAAAAAATTAATTAATCAAAATAGAAATATTGAGAAAGTATTTTTGAAAGGTTTGTTCCTATGTTTAAATTTTTCTACAAATATTTATTTAACTTTCTTATTATTACTATCTTTGATTCAATGAGGATTGATATATTTTCTATTATTAGAAAATTCACCTGTTATAGTTGCAAAGTTGGATATGAAGAAATTGATTATAATTCAGTTTTTCATTTCAGGGTATTATTGTACTGAATGAAACAGCTTATATATTATGACCCTGATATTTTTATGTTACTGTTTTTGCTGGTAAATCTAAGTATAAAATATTTGATAAAAAAAAAAGTAAAAATTTGGAGAAGGGGGGCTTTGAATTAGTTTGTTTGCGAATATAAATATAATACAAAAAATAATATACGCGTTTTACGCAAGAAGTGTTTTATGAACGCTGATCAATCTATATTTTGTTTTTCGATACAAAATTTTCTCTAGTAAAAGTCAAAAAGTAAATTCTATTTAAATAATTCTTAAATTAACTATAAATTATAAATTGATGTCATAATGTGCGGTTTAATCCTCGGTAATATCACCATACTCGAACATTCCCATACGATTTTTCTTTGCCTGATCTTGAACTTCGAGTAATTTCTCTACAACAATCCGATTTACTGGTAAATAGCTTTTCTCAACTAAAGCAAGTCCATCACGAACTAATTCCGCATTAATTGATGCTTCGGGTGATTGTGACACGGCAGGATCATATAATGTCAAATGTCGCACTTTATTCTCGACAAAATCAAGATTTGCAACTAATTGTTTATTGTCGGTTAGTTCACGAAATCGTTCAAGCGCTTCGATTCCATAATCCCCTTCGAGTGGTGAGACTTTAATGAATGAGAGTACGGCCTCGTGTGATTGCGGAGGTAATTGTGAGAAATTCGGTGGAATAGGGCGAACCCGTGATAACGGAATTGTCTCGCTGTTACCATAATCGATATAAATAACTTCAACTGTTTTTGCTTCAGATGAGTATTTTTTGATTTTTGCACGATACCATTGATCGTCTTGCGTGAATTGTGCGCTTACAATCTCACCATTTCGAGGAGTAATTGTTTGATTGCTATTGTTATTTTTATGATGCAGTGAAAATTCAGACATTAATTGTTCTAATGAATGAATGCTATCATTTACAACCTGTATATAGAAATTTCCACCCGAGACAACCTCGGAAATAATTACATCTAGATATTCTTTATTAGGTTCTTGTGTAACCCCTTCACGGTCATTCGTAATATCATTCGATAAACTATTTCCGTCATGTAGTCCCCAAATATTTTTTCGAGAAGATTTCGCTGCTCTTTCTCCAGCATAAAGTTGATTCGCATATGCACTTTGATCCGCGCTATATTCATGAATAGTGGCAAAACCTTCCTGTAATAAGGAAACTGCAAAATTTTCTGTTTTATTCAACCATAAAGTGCCAATAAATCCACCAGTTTTATCGACGTTTTCAACCTCAATTTCAACATCACGTTGCAAAGCTCGATTCGTGGCGAATTCTAATGCCTCAGCAGCAAATGGTTCTGTTTTTTCCGCTGGAGACCGACCAAGCCGAGGACTACGCACTCCACCCAACACAAAAGTTAATTTACAGTTTTCTTTTGGGACATAAATTTTGAAACGTGATCCATTCGCTACATGATCAACTATTGCGGGAATACGACCACTGCGTTGTAATGAGTGAAGGAATTGACGTGCTTTATTCGAGTTTTCCGAGGCATCACCAATTCGATAAACGGGAGGTTCTTTTCCACTATGAATACCTTTTCCATTATTAATAGCTTTCTGTTCGGCAATTAATAATTGATCATAAGCACCAGATCGATCTTCATCATCTTTCTTATGTCGTATAACGTGTGCTAGACCACGTTCAACGAGTATTTCGGCGATATTCGTCTCGCCAATTTTTACAGTAGCACATTCACGTGCTTCAAAATTGTCCTGTGCAGGTTTTTCATAATCAATAGTAACATGAACTACTTTTCCGATTAATCGTTTACGAAGGAGTTCCCTGGCGTCATAGTTATATTCGGGCAGTTTTGGATCTTTGGGTTTCGGTTGTCGTATACTCGATAGTTGTAATTTTTTCTCAACTCCGCTACGATTTACTCTAATTTGAAGTGTATCACCAGAAATAATTTTGGTAACAGTACCGTTAAATTCATGATCTTCGCCGCCTGCTTTGCTTCTAGCCACATGATCTTGCCAAATACGTAATCGTTTTTCTTTGGCTAATTTCTCGGCGGCTCTTAATTTCACCGGACCATCAGTGACAAGCGTGATACTCCAATCTACTACTTTTGCTAATCCAACTTGAACTAAAGCTTCAGCGATATTGCCCGCCGGATGTAATACTGACCCGATTAACGCCTGATTATTACCCGATTGTCCTTCCAACACAATTTTGACATCACGTTGTAATAATTTTGATTCTACAAAAAACTTGGCCTCTTCACCAAATGGTTCGATTAACTCTTCTACATCCGGGATTCCTTTTCTTACTATTGGAGCTTTAATCCCAGAGATCATTAAGGTAATATATTGTTGCGGTTCAGGCGGTTGCAACAATAGCAAAACGCGTAGAGTGGAAGCATCACGTACTTGTTCAACTATTCCATCAATAGAAGTGCCTCGATATTTATTCAAAAATTGCGAAGAGTCACCTGGTAAAGCATAGTTAACAACACGTACAGAATTTTCCTTATCTCCCCATATTCCCTTTCCAGCTTCTTTAGCCGACTGTTCCAAAGACAATAAAGGCTCCAGTTCATCGCCGTCATCTTTAGTTTTTCGATCTCTAACTTTTACCCAGCCTTCACGTAGCGCTTGGAAAGTTACGTTCTCGCTACTAATAAAGATACTTCCAAACTCACGAGAGTTCGGGGTCGTGTACGCGATGACAAACGAAACTTCTTTACCGACCAACAGCTTACGTAAAAATTCACGAGACTCGAACGCGAATGGCTCATCGTCGGTCTTGGAATTTTGTCCCAAACGTAAGCGTGGTGCTTCAACATATGCGAGATTTAGTTGGCGTTCTGGTGGCGGTTGATTGCCTTTTGGCTTACCGCGAAGAACTATAGTATCACCCGAGAGTACAGACTTTACGATGGCTTTGTGGTATGACATTTTTTTGTTTTAGTAATAAATATTTATTGGTGGTGGGTGATAGTAGTAGAAATAGAAACAACCTAACGAAAATATTTGATTTAAAAAACCAAGAAAAAATTTATTCGCAGTGATACAAATACAATCCTCTTTTTTTTTGGAAGCTGATTTTTGATTATCATCTTTTTACCGTTATGTTCTGAATTTTATAAACTTCTAGATTAGGAAGTAAATACAAATTTAACCCGTTAGAATGATAGAATAACGATAGGTCTTTCTAACAGATTAAATTTTGTATTTACTTCCTAGTTAATAAGTTTATATAATACTTGGTAGTTTAGTTGCGAAATGCTATTATTGTAGAAATATACGAATTTCTTTTGATCATTGATTTTGTGGATTTAGTTTGACAGAAATATTTTCTTTTATTACTCGTATTATGAAGCTTATAAGATACATTGTTAATTAGTTCAAGTTTTTCGATAATATAACTTATACTTTCGAAAGTATTTAAATAACACAGAAAAAACGAACGAGATGAGGTTTCTTTAATATTTAAAGATTAATCAAGTGACGACTTTCAACTTTCTCCCTCACCTCAGCTTGTTCGGCAAGCTTTGCTAAATTCGCATGGATGAGCTTCGATCATGTTTGTAAAGCGGTCAAGTAATTTATGAGTAAAGATGGATAGGAGACGATGTATCATCAGAGCTTCTCTAGGATATATATATATAAAATAAAGTATTTTGTCAATTCACGAAGAAATGGATGCAAAAAGAAATTAATATAAATGATCTCTTTTTAAGTGGTAATGCTTGTTAATGACAGACAAAAAGTAGAGTGACAATTTATCTAGCACACAAATACATATTTCATGAACCCCATTATTTTGAAAATTCGGATTTACCATAACTTTTCTTGGAACCAACTTCGGTTTGGTTAGTGCTTCGATTTGACGGGAGTTCAGGTGTTGTTGCTCTATTCAAAGAAAGTCATTCTCGAACTGATATGGAGTTGTTCCTTATATCGCAACATGATTTAATAGAATTTCTAGCCTACAAATAAACATTTACTAACTTCACAATACAGCTATAACTAATATGTGTTGGTGGTGCCATTAGAGCTTCTCTAAAAAGAGGTCCTTCAATTAACGCTTCTCTAAAAGATAATTTATAAATTAGAGAATTCACTACTGATTCTACTATACATGTCTTCAAAGCGCTGCAATTTATATAAAGTTCAGGTGCTACTAAGTATAAGTACATTACGCTCACAGATAATTCTCGACTTGATATTTACTGAAAATTAACGTATTAAAAAGGATATTTTACCTTTAAACTTCTTTCAACCGCGAAAGAATCTGTTGCTGCCAATTTACCCTGAATAATCATAAAAATAGATCAAAAACTTGCTATACACAATATTGTCTTCCCTTCGAGAATCTGGTCAAAGTGGCAGTTTCAGTATTCTTCGTCCATTATCGATTCAGCTGTTGTAAATAAAGTCTTTCCATATAAAATAGAAATAATGAATCAATGATTAAAATTATAAATTGAATACCTTTTTGTTCTCTTGATGACAATTTACTTTTTACGAGATATACCTTCTTGTCCTCTGCTTCTCTGTAAATCGAGTAAGTCGTCAGTTCTATGAAATAACTATGTCAGTCTAAACAATAACCGTTATTAAGACCTTCCCCAATTTTTTCAAAAAGTTTTGAGAGACAATCGATGACTTGTCTTTTTTCAATTTTACGATGTCTGCTGCGGCGGGATTGTTTCCCAGCAGTGGTAGCCGTTCCGCGCCAACACACTAAAAAGTGCCATTCTTATTGTATATATTTGCGTTCCATGGTAATTTGGTGATGAAGTTAAATTATTAATATTCTAATGGGATCTATCGCTATATGGTGTAAAGAATATTTACAATATACTTTCCATATGTCGCTTCATTTGTTTTTCAATACAAATGATCCCATTTGACCATTTTTAAGTTTTCTCCCCTCCAAAATTTTTCACATAAGACTTCGATAGATCTGCAAGATGCGTTTTAAATGGCGAGCCGACATTTTCGAATAGAATTCCATCAGCTACCAACACCATACATCAATCCGCGTCGCCACGTTGAAGAGACGTTAGTTTTCGTTTATCTTCAAAAAGAACAATTAGATAATAATAATACATTCAAAATCTGCAGATATTTTCATCCAATTTTTGCGAATTTTTATAATACATATAAGGAATATTTTTCAATAACGATATCTTAACAATTTTTCTAAAATACGGTTATCCTATTTTATGTCATCCGGATAATAAGGTATCCGCCGGGTACTCTGGATATTAGCCGTTTGAGCGAGGGAGCAAACTAAGATAAGACGATTGAAAACTTCGTAGCTTTTTGTCTGATGGAAAATGTGAACTACATCTGCGAAAAGTTTTAAGTTGTAAAAATGATAAAGAATTTTGCGGAAACAGGAACGAAGTGTTATTCTGGGACGAATATTCCGGTAGGTCAAAGACTTCAACCGTCTTACGTTATTTGCAGCCATTTAAGTACTACGTGGAAAAGAAGCCAGACGAATGGAAAGAACTTGACTTTCTGTTGTGGTTGAGAATGGCGAAGACAAATAAGGTGATAAAACCAGTTTCGGAAATCGTTGGGCGCCGTCATTCGTATATATGAGCCATGAGCTGGGTTTCTTGCTTTCAAAAAAGGTTTGTAATCATCCCACTCTGAAGCAAGGGTCTTTTTTAAAAAAAAAACTCACGCCCACAAAACCAGGACATGATTCCATTGTATATACAGGTTTTAAATGACTTGATAATTTGCAAAAATTTTTTAACCTGTCGAATGATACCAATAGGAAATTCTTGATTCGTGAGCAGAAATTCACCGCCAATGCCATTAACCAAGGAGACGGCTTAGAAATGCTCAATCTTTTCGTTAGGCTCTTTATTCATTTGTATAGCCGCGCGTTTTGCTTGAGAGATCGTTCTTCAGTCGTAAGCTCTCTCGCTAAATGATCGAAATTATCAAATAAAATCAATGTAGGTTGTTCTGACGCGTACACGAATATCCAAGTACCCTAACCATGACAAAAAAGGTGACGGATCACGTGATAATAAACAAATACAACCAATAAGAACGCACAAAAATTCTGCGCAACCAATAAGAATGTAGCAAATTTTTGATCAATCCAGAAAAACAAATCCGGCACAAGAAAATGAGAAAAGACAAAAATGCGAAAAATACATTATCAAAAAATGTTTTTATATATAACCTTGATCTCAAATCTAACCCTAACCCTAATACTTGATATCTAATATTAATCGGATATTTTAATGGACATATTGCAGATCACATAACCCGACACCTTTGCCATGGCTAGGCTACTACGAATGTCCCCGACGTGGCGTATGTAGGGATGAAAATTAATATTGGTATAGTAATAGTGGATGACAACCACGGACGACATCAACCTGCAATCTTTTGTTTTAACTGCACTAAATTCGGCAGCTCATCTTTGTAAAAATTAGTAAAAGCATTTGTTGGTACCTTTTCTTATGCGAGTGGTGGCATGAAGGCTGCAACTGAACAGGCCGTCATAGACGTTCTGGCTTCAGAGCATCTCTTTTGCTAATAAGCACTCGGCCGGCCTATGTATGTGACCGTCCTGTGCATGCAGGTTATAAGAACTCGGCCAGCCTATGTACGTAGGTGGCTGCTCTTTGGCATATAGTTTCTTGCCATCCTCGGGTCCAATTGTCATACTAGCTATGTTGAGCGCATTTCTCGTTTCCGAGTGGTAGGTGCTTGCTTTAATGCAGAGAACTTCAAAGGACGTGAGAAATTAATCATGGCTAAAACAGCCGAAAAGAGCATTGTAGGCGAATTCACTTAAAATAGGACAATTTCTAGACACAGAACGAAAAAAACTCGGAAGAGATTTTGGGTGATATTTTGGATGATGGATACTTTCGATCAAGAAAACGATAAGAAACTCTTTAAAAAAGTAATAATAAATTAGCTCAAAAAATTTAATTGCCTAACGCTACCGCTGATGGTTGATTTTTAAAAACAAGATTGTTGTTAAATTTTATTGTTTCCGCAATTATATGATTACCGTAAAGCGCTCTTTATAATATCCCCCCTTGTAAAAATTTGAACCACAATTTGGTTCAATTTTTTTTTAGTAAATTCAATTATTTTTTATGTAAATAATTAAATTAGATTTCACTATGCGATTTTTTAAGAAATTTAGTTATTGGTTTAACAGTCTTGAGGTTAAATTGAGGTTTAAATTTTATACAAAGGGGGATACTATACAGAGCGCTTTACGGTAGTCATCATTATTTTCATTTCAAAATAAATAGCGATATTCAAACCTTTACATAAGCAGGTATAGGATATTCCGTAACACCCGATATTGTAAGTTTTCGTGTATTTTTTTTATATGTTTAAAGTATTTTTCAACATCTAAAGTATGAATTTCACGATTTGGAAAAAAATTATTAATTTCTACTTTTATTATATATTAAAAATACTATTATATTAAATATTTAAAATATTATTAACATATTAAAATTTTTTTAAAAAAAAAAAAACATAAAAAGCTTGGTGTAAGATGATTATATGATTGTGATGAAAATATAAAGCGTAAATTCTATAGTAGTAAAGTATTATTAAGTGTTATAAATATGAAGATAGAGTATAGATACTCTTATCTTTTCTCTATCGTTTTATGCATTGATGCTAATGCTGATGATAACTATTATTTGGTATTAAAATGTAAACTGTAATTAATTAATTAAATGTAGTAAAATAAAAAACTTCGTCTATCATCCATCTATTCCATTTTTTAATCAATAATCAAAATTCCAACAGCGAACGGTACATACATACAACATACCTATCATTCTAAGAACAAAAAGTAGTAAGTAAATAAAATCAAATAATAATACCAACTAATATTACGATCTAAATTAAATAAGATAAAATAAAATAAAATAAATAAAATAAAATAAAGTAAAATAAAATAAAATAAAATAAATATGAAAAAATATTTGTTATTTATTTACCATGTGTATGTGTATGTGGATGTGTACTCTTGCTGTGTGTATATTTGGACGAATGTATAGCGTGTATTAATAATAATATGTTTGCTATTTATTTTATGATGATGATGATGATGATGAAAAGATGAAGATGCAAAAAAGTAAAATATAAAATATGTGGATTTAAAGTAAAAATCAAATAAAGCTGAAAAAAGAATTCAACATAATACTCTATATAATAGAAAATTATTTTTATTTGGCCGCCAAAAATGTTGGAAAGTGGAGGGGGAAGCTATACTACAAGTGTGGTTTAGGAACAAGGATGGAGAAATATGTGTAAAAAAAAGAAATTTTGAGGTAATTAATTTTGTTCGTGAACGACTAAGGGCGTATGAGATATAATAATAATGATGATGCAAGACTAATTAATCATCTAACACAATTGACAGTATTTACAATTGCGACGAAAAAATAATAGTAATAATGATAACAAACAACTCTCTATATTTCGTGACCCAAATTGTTAAAAAAAAATGCAATAGAAAAGAAATAAAAGGAATCATTAAATTTGATTGTCCATTTTGAAACATATTCTATCTAGTTTTTCATCTTCTATTCCAATTAAATAATTTCTTACATAATGTGAAAAATATAAATCAAAAAGGATAAGAAACTGACAAAAGAAATGTTTCAAAAATGCAAAATTTACAAAATTGATTTTTCGTGGTTTTTAAAGAATTGTGGTGCGATTATTGTAGGATTTATTTTTTGAGTAGATGATGCACGAATTTGTGTGTATGAATGAGCATTGTCAAGTGATGACGATGATGCGGGCAAATTATCTCTTCGAAAAAAAACAAGAATAATCATTACCACGCATTAGTAAAACATTTCATCTTGATGTTCTAATTGCATCTGAAGATCTAATTGCTGAGAAGTAGATCCATTCGTCATTGGCATAAAGCCTGTTTGAGATTGATCGAATTTAACTAAAATTTGATCATCTTGCTCAAAATCAAATCCCAATCCTTGTAAACCAGTATATGAAGACTGTCCTTCTAGTTCTTTAGCAACGTCATCCGATTCTTGTTTCACCATTATTGTATCGGCAGTAGTAGAAGCCGGCGGACTCAACCCACCAGCGGTAGCAGTGTCACTAAGATCCATTCTCATCATTTCTTCGTTAATTCCGATCGGTACTTCAATCGTCGATACTTGATTTGTACGCATAAATTCATAAGTATTATTTACGAATTCTGTTCTCATTGGTGGAGCAGACGATGGAGGCTGTTGGAAGGCAGCAAATTCATTGGTAGTAGTCGCTGAACTGGTTGGTTGTTCTTGGAAAGCATCAAATTCTGTTGTTGTCGGGGGAGCTGACGATGGTTGCTGCATGCCAAAATAATCATCATGTTGTTGCGGCTGAGGCGTGGCTTGTTGTTGTTGCTGCTGCTGATGTTCCATTAAAATCATTTGACTAAACATCGCATTATTTTCTTCCATTTGTGCTAATTGTTGTGATCCATAACTCGGATGACGAACAATTCCGACATTTTTAAAATGCCATTCATCGACACCTTCCGGAAATCCAAATCCACCATTATTGTAATTTGATGTTGCTCTCGTATTTCCCATTCCAACCGGAATCATTCTTGGACTATTTGGAATACTGACGCTTCCATAGGGACTAAAACGTCTCGGATAAGCAGGTGGACTTGATATATGTAGATTAGAGATACTACGATGCAGTGACATTCCAGATGGAGATGTTGGTGATGATAAGATTTGATTATATTGATTATTTGGAATATTACTTGTGTTAATCGTTGTCTTTGGAGAATTGATGCTGTTACTACTGCTATTAGTGTTGCTACCTGTGCTGGAATTATTATTCTGATTATTGCTTGTATTATTGTTACTATTATTATTATTATTGTTGTTGCTATTACTATTATTGTTGTTGTTGTTATTATTGTTATTACTGTTGTTTTTATTATTAGCATTACTGTTATTACTATTATTGGCTGAATTACCAGGACTATTGGATTGTTGTCCTTGATGATTATTCTGTTTCATTGCTTTAACCATTTCACACTCTTCTTGTAATCGTTGCATTAATACTGCCTTTTTACCGGTAGCAGGTTTTCCACGTTGTCTCAACATGTCTTTGAGTTCACTGACTGTTATATCATCGAAATCAATCCTCACAAGTTCTTCATCGAGTTTACGTTGATATTCTTCGGATGAAATTGGAGCACTCGGGTGATTATGCTTGTGGTTTCGTTGAATCTGAATTGGTAACGCACCAGGTCTACGAAATGACGGGGAAACAGAAGAGATATTGAAAGGAAATGATGGAGCAGGTTGCAGAGAAGGTATACCACCATTACTTCCACCAGCCAACTGTGGATTAGCAAAAGGTTGTGTGGGCGCAGAAAGTGATCTTTTACGCATATGACCACCACGTCGGGGATTTGATGGCTTACCACTACCATTATTATTGTTATTATTATTATTATTGGGAATTGTATTATTAGTACCGCCATTATTATTCAGAGATGGCGGTGCTAATAAATTTATGTTTGATGATTGAGGCGAGAAAGTTGGAGTATTTGGAGTGGACATTGACATGGGTATTTCCATACCCGGTATTCCAGAAAAAGCTGCATTTTCTCCACCAGCACCAGTTAACACTAAATTTATGGGCATTGTACCAGGTTGATTCATGACAATACCAGTATTAGGAACTTGAATATTATTAGGAACATTTCTTGAGGGTCTACGCTCAAGTTTCACCTTGAATCTGGCTTGTCGTTCATTAAGCTTCTGCGTATGATTTATCGACGAATCATTAAACATCCGAGCTCTTGATGCAAGGGAATGAGGATGAGGATGAAGATCACCATTACTATCGATGACACGAGCATCATCAAGCATCATATTATTATGAGATCCAGGAATTTCTCCTGCATATAAAGTATTTTCGTCTTGCGGAAATGCGATACCGAATTGCATTTGCAATAATTGTTGCTGCTGCGGGTTTTGTTGTTGAAATTGTTGCTGCTGTAGCAGCAGCTGTTGTTGTTGAGCATTATTTGCAATATTTCTACGAGTGGTTTGGGCTTTTGCCATTGCGTGAATATTATCAGCGGATAAGCTTCGACGACGAGCAGTTAAATAATTTGGCAAGTTTCTGTAAGGAGTCGGAGTTTGAGCTCGATTTGGAATCTGATCAATATTATTATCTATATCATTGCCATTATTGTTAATATTATTTGGAAATGATAACGAGGCAACAGGATTATTTGGCAGACGAGCGGGTTCTTGAACCGGTGAGTCATGTAATGCCTGCTGTTGATCTTGAGGAGGGGATTGTTCATGTTCACGTTCAGATATATGATGCGTTTGTGCTGGCGGTGAATTAACTACCCATGAACTATCAGGTAAGGTCTTGGGCATTAGATCACTAAAAAAAGGAGGAGGACCAAATTGGGTAGGATCATAGTAATCACTTGAAAAAGAAGTATTAGAAATAACACTGTCATCAAGCGAATGCCCATATACATTTGGGTCGAGACCATAACCTTGAAATATATGTAATTTCAATTCTTGGTCATTACTAAATTGTTGCGGCTGCTGTTGCTGCTGCTGTTGCTGCTGTTGTTGCTGTTGTTGAAGAAGAAAAGGATGAGAATCCTCTAAATATCCTTGAGGATTATTATTGAATTGATCATCGGGAGTTGGAGGATTGAATGGCTGTACGAGTAAACTTGATGCTGCTGGACTTCTCTGAAACATTTATGACAAAGTTTTGTAGAAGAGGCTTTTTTTTTTTAAGAGTAGAAGTATATCAAACAGCCTGTGTTTCTCTGTTTATCTAAGGTCTATTACGATAATTATCAAGTGTGGACAAACACGAAGTTCCAATGTGTTCTTTTAGGTCTAATAAAAATATGTTAAAAATAGCATTTAAATGATGACACTTTTATATTTGAGATTTTATCGGAAATAACTATTCTAAAGGCTAAAAGAGATAGAAACAAAAACAACTCCAACAACTAATTAATATACGACACTAAGTAGTATTTGGGTGGTCTGCGAGCGAGAGATGTGTACGCAGGGTATGTGTTTATTATTGTCCAAGCGATGTCACGCCGATATATTAACAAACGCGCCTAGACAGCAAACGATGCGTACAATAAATTAAGACACTATCGTAAATTCAACGAACCTTCAAAGAACCGGGACAACGATACGAATAGTAGTAGTATATTAGTATATATTATTAGTCAGAGGAGAGAGAGAGAGCGAGAGGAAGGGAAAGGAAGAAAGAAAAAGGAAGAAGAGAAAAAGAAAAGAGAGAAATCCTCGTCGGTCGGCGGCGTTACGCACAATTATTTTGTTCCACAAAAAAAAAGAGCAGCGTCAAAAGAACGGCTGAACAATCGAGAGTTTTGCGGGAACAGACAAAAAATGTGTGTGTGTAAAAAAAAAAGAAAAATAAAGTCGTTCGTTGTATCTTTTTATACGAGAGTTATTTGTGTGGTGTGTGCGAGTGTGTGTATTGTCGTGTGAGAGGTGAGAGACACTTTCTTTTTGATTTGATGAGTACGTAGATTGTCTATAATGAAAATAGATAATAATAATAATAATAATAATAATCGATGCACAACAATTGTAAAAATATATAAAGCTAGAATGTAACGAGTTTTCCCATTCCTCTAATATATTATATATGTACGTGTGTAAACTTGTACAAGTAATTAAGAAAACTTTGAATAAAGGGACTAGTTTCAAGATTTATTAGATTCAATCACAGAGAAAGAAGGTGAAAGTGAATGAGAGTGAGAAAAAGTTTAAATTTAGACTCGAGGCACACTTATTGACTTTCTTGGTTACTCGATTATTACTTACATATGCAAACACACAAACAAAACTAACTTTTATTTCGCCACGTTTTAGTTTTGGGTATAACGACCGTTTACTACGAAAGAAGTGGGAGAGGAGGAGGCGATTTCTGCTGGTAAAATTTTTATCCACGTTTTTTTTTGAGATAAACTAATTTGAGTTTAGTCTTCTTTAATCATTAGGATAATGAGAACGGGATCAACAAACTATACAGAAAAGAAGAATCGAAAATTTTTGTGCGCTTTGTGCTCTGTGTATATATGCTGACCATTATTTTTAATTATCGCTTACTTACCCAGATTAATCAAGAATGATGAAAATTTATCGTTATATGAGACAGAATACGAAATATTGACTAATCAATATCTCTATCATCATCATCATCGTCGTCATCATCATCACAGTATGCATGTATGCATATATGCGTAGTCTGTGTACTTGTAACTAATAATTCCGGCCGATTGAGTTAACGGCATAGACAGAAGGAGGAGCCTATAATATTCTAATTTCCAACCTCATGAATAAAAGAGTAGACGAATTCATCTACCTAACTAACTAAAGTGACTAACAAAGGGATCGGGGCTGTGTGACCTGAAAATCGAGGAAAAATTTGTATATGCACATTTCTCATTCAGCCGATCATTCATTATTTTCGAGAATTCCACGCAAAATTAATTAATTAATAATTGTCAATTTCAAGATCGTGGAGAATTATTAATTTCTATCAGCTGAGCTGCTATGGTAATTCACGCAGCCGATATTCGATTAGAAATTACTGCAATCGTTCATAATAAAAGTGAAAGTACATAAATTCTTGCATTAAAATAAAAAACAAGAAGATTGTATCATCTATTGTTTTATATGTATGAATATTTATGGATCATCGAAAAAAAGATGATCTATATATGTTTGTTATATGCGAGTAATTTATGTAAGTATGCGTATCTGTGTTTCGGGTATGATCCTAACAAAATAACCACTTCGCCGATTTTTTCATTTTGTCGCTGTTTATAGATTTGTAATTTATTGTGCATTTTATTGTAGTGACACTTTATAATGAATGAACTATTGTCACTTGCTTTATTCGGGTTAGATTGCCAGTGTTTGTTAATTATTTTTCTTGGACCCTATTATTTTTGATTTTGTACAATGAAATGCAATAATAATAGTAATAATAATAGTATAATAATAATAATAAGAATAGTGTTAATTAAAAATAATTTACTATTTCTTGGACGATTTTGGACCATTAAGGAAATTGAACAAAGAGATTAATTTGTGATGAAACAATAATATTTACTTTGGAAGTGTCTAAAATCTACTTTGGAATTATTATCTTAGCGTTAGTAACTATTAATTTGACAAAGAAATGTGACTGAGCCTCATTAGCTAACCCTGCAACATGATGGAGAATGAATACAAGGAATTACTTATAAATAGAAGAGATCTTCTAATGGAGGTCGTTAGAAAACAATATCTATCTATAGATTAATTACTGAACATGAATTATGAACACTTGAAAATAAATAAAAATAAGGATCCGTATTGTTTTTCAGATTCACGTTATTCTTCCCATTTATTTTTGGCATTGGGATAAACAAGATATTGAAATTTGAAAAATGAATTATCTCGGTAAATGTGTTAAAAGACATTATTTGGTATTCCTACTGAAGAGATCCAATCAATAAAAAATCGATCTATTATAAATTCATCTCTTAATCTGACCACTACTAATACTAATTTAGTAACTAAATTTATAAGAAATTATAATGAATCTTAATTTAAGGTTAATTAATTTAAATTTTCTAGAGGGGCACACATATACATGCACATTTAAATGGGTGTATACATGTATATATGTGTGTGTGTGTGTAAAGCCGAGGAACTCTTCTCATCCTCTAATGTGTAGTATCTCATTCGAAAAATTATTGTAGCCATAAAATATGCATAATAATGATTGTCATCTCAAGAGAAGCATATATACAACGAGGATGTGAGAGAGAGAGAAATTTAACTTTAATCGAGGGATTGATTGTATTTGTCCGATTTGGAATGATTCTCTTAATGCATCGGAAAAGCGCTAATCTATAAACGAAAGATACGAAATCCGTCAACAATAAAATATTCAAGAAAGGAAACAACTTTCGGTTAATATATAAAACTGGAAGCAAAAAGGTGAAATTTAGTCACCAATGAACAATGAACATGGGAAGAGACGATAATCTTTTTTCAGTTGAATATAAATCTAATATCGATATATAATCAAAGCAGTCTTGGTCATTTACAAGGTCATAGCCTAAAGATGGACATAATAAAGGTCATATGTTAATACTGGTTCAGGTGTGAAACCAAATTCATAAAGCTGTTGAAACTGGTTTTTCAGTGAAACTCAGAGAAAAATATATCGAGACTTTAAATAAACCTGTTATCGTAGGGTTTATTAAAGTACCCTCCCCTGCAAAAAAAGGACTCAAGATTTATTATACCGTATACCGATACGTAAGTAAATTTGGCCGATCAATATATATATTACAACATAATCTATAGAATTTCCACATATCGAGTTAGAAAAAAGGATCATGTGATTTTATTTAATCTGATCATTATCATTATTCGCGCTCCACGCGCCGATATAAAATAAACGCGTGATCCAGATATTTTACATTTTATACTTTGCGATAACTGCCACCACACTATCAATTTTCTTAATAATTAATTAACTTCACGCTTACACACAAACACATTTTCTCTCGGTCCACTTTCCTCGAGCACACATCAAACTATAAAATTTAAAGCAATGGAAACCCCACAGCGTTCCTCACTTGGTTCTTCGTGTACACCTCCTTCTTTCTGGAACGCGAAACCATTGGAAAGCTCTTTTATGTCAACTGGGCTTCTTTCTAAACGAAATAAACCACGGCTCACAGAAAAGAATAATGTGTTTACAGCGCCGCGTACTCCTTGTAAAAAGCTTGTGCATCAACAGTACTCACCTCTATTTTCGAGGTTTCCTCTAGCTAATAGTATAAACAATGACAATGGTAAAAATAAAAATAATAATGGGCTTTTTTGTGTTTCTTCGGAAACTCCGGGTTGTGCTGCGCCAAAAACCCCTCACGAAGCTTCAGCAAAAGCTTTTTTTGATAAATTGTCAACACCTCAAACACCTTTATTTCAAGAAGAAGCTAACGATTCACCATCGTCACCAACTATGCAACATAAAAATTGGGAAACCTCATCATCACCCTCACCTTGTCCGTATTATTCTCCATCAATCGGAGGTTCTAGGCAATTGGATAATTCATTCTTTTACGGAGAATCCCCGTCATCGGCATCATATTCTCCATTATTCTCTCGTAATTCTCAATATTCTACATGCCAAACGCCATTAACGCATAGTAATAGTCAACCTATAGGCACGCCATTATGTGGATATTCAACATCATCATCTTCAATATCATCACCCTACACAGATGGTCCTTCATTACAACCAATCGCCGCGGCGTCTCCATTTTGTGATCGATCTCAATTAGGATCAGTTGGAAAGCTCTCGAATTTCTACAATAGAATATATGGAAGTCAATATTTGGACTCGCCCAGAAAAGATTCTTCGACCCTTCGTTTTCTCAATCGAGAGTATTTTCAATCATTGGGACATGAAAATGGTATTTTTGCTTAATTTCTCTCATCTTCTTATAAATGGACTCAATGTAATATTGATTTTTCCATTTAAATTTAGTTGCATCGTCATACGATCTTAACTTTAATGAGGATTATTTTCATAGTCAATTCGATCGAATTACCTCATTGGGCTCGGGGGAATTTTCACGAGCATATAAAGCTCGAGATAAAAGATCAGGTCGCTTTTATGCCGTTAAAAGGAGCAAACGACGATTCACCGGCATTAAAGCAAGGTATTCTTAATTGTTTATTAAAGTTGATAGACTATCTTGGAAAAAAGACTAAGCTAGGTTTTGTGCTTATGAAGGAACGAAAGTTTAGAAGAGGTTGAAATCCTTTGGGAAATTGGCAAGCATAAACATTGCGTGGAACTTATATCTGCATGGGAACAAAAGGAAACTTTGTATCTTCAATTTGAGCTATGCGAACATGGCAGGTAATTTATTATTAATATTATTCTTTATGCTTATTATGATCAATTGTAACTCGGCAAGGATTCTTGATCTATTTCCACAAATACCATTCATAAACAAATTAGTCTAGACTCTTTTATTGAAGAATTCTGCACACAAAAACGACTTGAAGAAACACGTATATGGAAGATACTCACCGATATTGCTCTGGTAACACCCAAAAACACCTATCTCGTTACTTTTTATCAACTCGAATATACTATTTATTTGGTTATATTCCATTTACTCTTGATAGGGTTTGAAACATATTCATGATAATGATGTAATTCATCTGGATATAAAACCGGCAAATATATTTATAACTGGAGAGAAAAACCTGAAAATTGGTGATTTCGGGTTGGCGACAAAATGTCCAGCGGTAAATTGATATTTTTTTTTAAATATTAATTATTTACCAAACACTAACTTGGACCCACATATGTACATAGCCACGTGGGATCGAAAAAGAGGGTGATCGAAAATATATCGCATTGGAAGTGTTAAACGGTTACTATGACAAACCAGTCGATATATTTAGGTAAAAAAAATAGAGGATGTTTAAAACCTTCAGAAAAAGAGCTCTCAGCTCATCATCACTTTTTGATGTTTATTTAGTCTCGGGGTATCTATTCTGGAGCTCGCCGCCAATATCATATTACCTGATAATGGCCCAGAATGGCAAAAACTTCGAGCGGGAGATTTATCCGGATGTCGATTCGATGTAGTCTCCAACATTCTTGTACAGTTAATTCAATGTATGTTAAATCCAGTGCCGTTGCGTCGACCGAAAATTGAAGACATATTGAAACACCCTGTGATCGAGGGCATTATTACAAATCGAACATCTGGTGTGTTAAATAAGGGCACTTTAGAAGTAGAGGACCAAGAAATCGCGCAAAACTTCATGGATATTATTGAAACGTGTCATGAATAATTATATAACCAAAAAAATGCGGGATTATATTTATAATTAATACACTGAAATTCTCTTATTCAAGAACAATGGGAAATTTAATGGGACGGATATAAAACATATGTAATTATCGATAAGAAGAGAGCCATTGGAGTAAAAATTGTTGGACATTACAAATAGTGCCAATAGCTTATCCTGTACCGACTTGAGGAGTTTAGTCATATTATTTTATACGTATAGTTTATCATCAAACTTGATCATAAATTAATTACATCAAATTGTGTCAGTTTGATTTAATGCTTTTGACCACATGTATATGAGCTTTGACCGGTATAAATGAAATTTTAAAAATAAAATGAACTCGAAATAAAGACGGATTTCAGATCTTATCTCCTTTTACTCAAAAGCCATAAAATTGCATAATAAAATATAAAGTATTCCGAAAGCTATTAACAAAGAAAAAAAATTTTTTTTTGGATTTGTCACACCACTTGTTTTATATGCAGAATTCTAACCTCCGAAATTATTGACTCACTGATAACAATAACTGACAATGCGTTTATGTAGCTTAGCGTTAGGCCGAAACTTTAAATTGGTAATTTAATATTATCCAATTTCGTGAGATATGCATCCAAATAAAGTGTATAAAGACTCCAGCGTCCCCCTTACTTCTTGTATCAGAATTTATTATTCTTTTGATTTTTTTAGGGTTGCGTGGTGTGTATATATGTATGCTTCAGGTTTTACTTCCTTTTTCTTTTTTTGTCTCATACTATCCTACTTAGACGCAGTCCACTTTTTAAGGAAGAAAAATTACAAAGAATCATAAGCGTATTTTTTCTTTAGCAACAATAAAACTGATATCAAGTTTAAAAAGGCTGCTGAGTTCAGCTGTAGCATACAAAAAAAATCTAAAATATATAAAATATAAAAGAGGAACGAAGACCAGAGACGAGTTGTCATTTGAGATCAATATAATAAATAAAGTGCAAGTACTGCGTATTTTGCCCAATCTTAAATCCATTTATTTAGTGCAATAACTACCAAAATCATCATCACCCACAAATCGCAATGTACCTAAAATCCACACACACATGCCTCTTGGACGGCAATCATCAATGGGAAGTGACACTGTTCTGCAGTGCCGAAGCAAATACAATAAAATCAGTAGACATAGTTCCAAAATCGCGTGGAGCCAAAGTGGTGCCAAATGACGCCAAACCAGCACCAACTGCCTACACAATGATCTATACTACTTCGAGTACCGTAAAATCCGATAATCATATTCCATACCAGTTTTCAGCGACAATTACTTTTTTAAAGTCGAACGAGAAAAAGACAGTTAGTGTCCCTGCAAATATGGCAACTGACAGAAAGAGACGAAAAGCCGATTTTAATGACAATAATAATGGACAATTTGATCAATCCAATAGTAATCATGATATTGAAGGTGAAGTTGAAGATGTGTCACCACCGCCACCTCCACCAAAAGATGAGAAAATTAAAAGATCTTGGAAATGTTTTAATTGTTTAGGCACTGTTAGTCAAAGAAAAAAGAAGACTGGCGAAAATATGGATGAGAAAGGGGAAATTGATGATGGAGTAATGAAAAAAAGATGTTGTGTAATAATGTAATTTTAATGAACAATCTTAATAATAGTTAATAGTTAATAATTTAATGGTTAATCTTTAATTTTTACTAGAAAGAATTCGCACACACACACTACTCCTCACTCTCGAAGTTATTATTATATAAGAAAAGAAAAATACTTGTCATTGTTCCTCTACGCTTTATTGATCCAAAAAAATGATAACTTTAATATAAATATTTCTTCGGGTACCTAATATATATATATATTTATTATTGCTAACGATAATGTTTGAGACAAATCAAAAATAGCAAAAGAAATATGACTTAATACTTGTCCCCAGGGGATTGGATAATTTGCTGGTCTGTTGCTAACAATATACTAACGCTCTATGCCCATTGCAAATTTCATTATTTCCGCCTAATTCAATAAAAAGATGAATTAAACTATTTCATTGAAGAAAACCCTTTATATGGAACGAGACTAACCTTTACAGGTTCAAGCCCATCAATCATTCGTAGTCCTAACGACCTCATCCAAACAATGGGCGCTGAATCATTTGAAAATAATTTATGCAATTTATCGACTGTTCCAATCATCATCAAATTTTTGATGTAACGATTCGAGGCGTATTCTTGTATTGAATGCAAATCACCTAAAACACAAAAGGAATAAAAAACATAATCTATTGAAAATAATAAACTACATATCTTATCAACGAACATTACCAATATCTTGTCCATTTATCACGCCTCGCTCAATCACCTTCGCTAAGCACTCAACATCTGCAATACCTTGATTTAATCCTTGTCCAGCAAGTGGATGTATTACATGAGCTGCATCGCTAAATTAAAAGATGCATAATTACCATGTATTCTTGTTATTCGAATTATACGCAAATATAAAAATATACCCAATTAGAACTACTCTATTCTTTACGTAACACTCTGCATTTCTCATTCTCAATGGAAAACTAGCTCGACTATTCTCTTGTACGCCTACTACTCTTGGCGGTACTGGACTCGATGATTTCTTACTATTCATGTTCACACTTTCTCGCCATTTCACTTCATCACCAATATTATAATCCGATGATCCAGGACTTTTTTCGATGATCTTGTACAAATAATTTAAATCGGCAATTCCTAATCTGAATGCGCCATTTACTAATTCTACAAATTGATCAGCAGGTATTTGTCGGATCTTTGCGGCAAGTTGTGGTGTTGTGGACCATACCATTGATGAAACATGGGGATGTAACTTGGTTTTGATGATGGAAAAGATAAGCGATATAATTATGAAATGGAAATTTGTTTTATAAATTTTTTACCGGCAACATTGCTATCGGACCAGTAGGAAGAAACCGTTGCCATGCAGTGTTATTAATGTGATTGTCGGTAGTCGAGTCTATGTTCAGCGTCGCAACTACTGCGTGCGAGTTATAATCCCATCCTAATGTCTCGATATTAGCAAAAGACCGTACGGGAGAGTTTATTCCATCTGCGCCAATCTTTTCAGGATACGAATCATATATTCAGTACACATACACATTCTTTCGGATAAAAATATCAAATTGATAAACAAAATTTTTACCAATAATCTTGTTTTCAACTTTTGACCATCGTCCAATTCAACAATGGGCCATTCAGAAAGATCGAAAAATTCATGTGTTTTGGTCTCATCAAAATCATTATCATTCCCACAAGTGATTCGCTCCACTTTTTTATTATCGAATATCGAAATTTTCCCACTATTTTTATCCCGGAAATGATCCAGGTTGGACAATAATCCATGTTGGATATTTGAATTTTCTATGATCCAAGCAATTGAATTTGAATCAATTGAATCCTTTTTGATGAGTCGTTGAAATAGCGGTAATGATGATAATGCTTGGGAAATGTTCTCCGAGTCAAAAAATATTTGTGCGTCACTTACACCATCCCAAACTACCATTTTTTGATAAGGCTTTACACGTGTGTGATCGAGTTTCTGCCAGACTCCGATATCTTTTTCATTAGCACAATATTTTGATATTATTGATTAAATAATTCGGCAAACATTTCATCATCGTAAGCATCTCAATACCTTTGAGAAATCTAGCAGAACCAGGAGTTATTGAACTAACTCGATTAGAATAGTACTCGTTGGCGCTATCGCCCCTCCATTCTCTAATACGCGAAAAGTTACCGATATCTATTAGAGCTATTTTTTGTAATTTGGTTGTATGGCAAGTCACTATTGAAATATCGAAATCGTGCGATTGAGTATGATTTTATTACAAGTTCCATTTAAAGCGAAAGATTCTCCATTTTCGACAAAATTAAGCATGTAATATCATAACATGTAGAGTATATTTAATACTTACCCAAGGCATTCGCCAAAGCCAGACCCGTAATTCCGCCACCGACTATAATAACATCATAAACATTTTCAAGAGCCTCTTTGATATTCAAAAAAGGCGATAACCTTTCCTGCTGTTGTTTCTGAGCAGAAAAAAATTCCGTATTCAATGAGGACAAAGTCGCTAAACTTTTCGATAATTTTCCACTATATCGAAAAGTTGTGCGAAGCGCGAAGCGACAAAAGACGTGTTGCTTTTTTAATGTCAATGCTGGCAAGGACATAATTTTGATTTTGATGGTTTAAATTGAGATAATTCTCACCAGGTGTTGCGATATTTCAAATCATTACGATAAATCTTTCATACTATTCATCATTGAAAGAAAAGATGGAAAAAGATGTACAGATCATACAAAATTTTATTAATATTAATAGAAGATTCGTGTAAACGTTCTTCCAATTTAAGCAAAAGAATGTAGTTTTGAAAGTGAGGGATAAATCAAAATAAAAGGAATATCTATGTGTCTTCGACTGTAGATAGATTATGAAAATCTCTCCATTCATACATATTTTATCAATACTGCATGTATTCTAAAAAAAAAATTAACAATTGTTGAGTAATCCGTTTATTATTAACAATAAATTGCTAGTTAATAGAATTACTTACCAATCAACCGCGGTGGGGATAATCTTTAGTAAGATCGATGTTTACGTGAGTGTTGTGAATTTTGATCTTCCGATTCATTTGCTTCTTCTTTCGTTGTTTTTGCTTGTTCTATCAAATTTTCATCATAATTAGATGTGTAAGTGGCTGAATATTATTACGAATCAACGAAAGAATAAAATACCTCAGTTTTAGTCTTGTTCTCATAAACTTCCATCGTTTGTAGACCGGCTATTATAACCGGAATAATTTAATTTGCGTGAGAAATTAATTCGGTTATTTTTTAAATCCATTTATGTATCATTACCCTTCTGGAGTTCTTTCGGCAAGTCAACTTGAACTTCAGGGACTTTAACTTTATGGAATATCTCGACAAATTCTACAAATTTATAAACATAAACATTCTGTTTTTTTACTCTTTTCCCTCGGATCTTACTCACCTTTGTCCATCTGCGTATCTTCTTCCGTAGAATTCCAGAATATGATGCGCGGTGCGTTTTCCTTCGTTGATCGTATGACCAAAATTCGTTTTTCCTCTTCGAGTTCCTTTTATATAAATTTTCGCACTCACACTCTCATTACTCTCATCACTCTTTTAAGGCATATGTAAGATATCAACGCTGGTAAAAACTTACGTTTATTGCTTTTTTAAGATCAATGTAAGAATCAGCCAAATCTTTGAACTGCATTCCACATGGTTTAGAATCTTTTCTTTCAAATAACAATTTAACCAAATCTTCCTTATCACGAATCTGATATTCAGGCTAATAATAATAATAATAATAATAATTCTTGGTCAATATCTCACGATTAAATGTGCCAAGGAAAAGGCGTTAATACTTGCTTTGTATTGGTATGTGTCTCCGACTGGATCATATAGTATTTTCTCACTATTTTGCATTAGACTTAACAGTTGCGGATCTTTTTCAATCTCGATGTTTGCCTCTTTGAAGTCGTTGAGTGTTTGCGGGAGATCGACGTGTTCCTATTATAATCATTTATTATCTTTAGAACAATTATTTTACGAGAAATAAAAAATTGCGTGCTTGTAGTGACAAGTTACCTTTAGGAAGTTTATGACATTATGTAATTTACTAAGGGTATGCATGAATACTAAGAAAATATCACAAATTAGACTCATGACCAAATCTAATAGGATAATTTTTCAAGAGAAAGAAGTTATTCGTCTGAGCTTCTGACCTGGTTTCTTTTTCTTGGGTCCCCCAGCGCCAACACCAATTCCTGCTGATGCATCCTCTCTGGCTCTTTTTGCTGGAACTCCAGAGTTTGTATTAGTTGAAGAGGACGAAGACACCGCGGTTGATATTTTTGGGCGTGGGAGTACTGGTTGAGTAGCTATTTGTGACTTGAAGGCTGCCGCTTGTTGACTCAAAAAAGACATTATAAATTGTATCAGAAATGGTGTGTGTTTGTTTGAGGAAGTATAAAGAAAATGTACGAGTCTGGAGAGAGTGGTTTGAAGACAGATTATGTGTCAACACAATGGATCAATGATTTCTCGAAATAAAATTAATTGACATTAACATCGTCATCGCAAATTAAACTTTATCATCACCTGAATTCCAATCAGTCAGTATATCCAAAAAAATAGAGTATTTATGTATACGGTAAAATTTTTTTCTCACTCGAGAAACGAAACGTCTCTTTTGCATTTAGCTTAAATAACGGTGAGCATTACTCATTCGCTACTTCAAATGTGTTTGTATAGATAGCTCTTGATTTTATTTTATTGAAATTGGCATTCTTTTGCATTAAGAAAGTTATTGAGGTAGAAAACTGACCTATTACTGTTTTTGAATCTTCGATTGAAGCAGATATTTCTTCCTCGTTCATCACCACCACCACCGACAACACTGATAGCCTATATATATATTTTTTCACATTATAATATATATATATTCCAAATTTAATATTATTATATGTTATATAGTATTATTATTTTCCAACACTATATATATACTAGTACTATTTATCACAATATCTACATATCATGAATAAAGAAAAACTCGCCAAAATGCAAAGCCAAGTACGAATTGGTGAGTCCTTTGTTTCATTGATTTCGTCTGTGTGTGTGTGACGTGTGATGATAAGAAATGCTGAGTTCATTAGTGTTTTCGGTTGCTGGATTTGCTTATTACTATTTTGCAAAGAAACGGAAAATAAAAATTTGATCCAATCAAGCAATACGTCCATAAACATAAATTTACCTTCTTTTTTCTCACTCCAAAAATAAAAATAAAGGTGGCAAAGGAACACCACGTCGTAAAGTTAAGAAGGTTCACAAGACCGCGTCAAATGATGACAAAAAACTTCAGTCAACATTAAAGAAATTGAATGTACAACCGATTCCGCAGATCGAAGAGGTGAACATGTTTAAAGATGACGGCAACGTTATTCATTTTACTGCACCAAAAGGTATTTATTATTCGTTTCGAGCCCATAACCTATAATCTCTATCACTAATACAGTATAAGCTTGTCATCGTAATTAACAAATAATAATCAATTCATTCATTAGTTCACGCATCAGTTCACGCAAACACATTCGCCATCTACGGCCAAGGCGAAGACAAAGAACTCACCGAACTGGTGCCCGGAATCTTGAATCAACTTGGACCCGATTCACTCGCTTCGCTACGTAAATTGGCCGAAACTTATCAACAGATTAATTACGCGAATACCGGCGGATTGCAGATGGATATGGGTGGCGGTGGTGGTGGTGGCGGTGAAGACGACGACATTCCGGAATTGGTGGAAAATTTCGAGGCGGCTAGTGAGAAAAAAGAAGAGGTAGATACAGGTAGTGCTACTTCCTCTACTGTGGCTGCGGCAGAAACTGGTGGTGCAAAGATTAGTGACATTGTTGATTAGGGGGAATATAATAACATAGGTTTGATTTGTTGTTTATGGTTGAGATTTGTGGGATTTTGATTTTAATAAATATGAGACTATCGTTTTTATGTAGTGATGGATATAAAGAAATCAGATGTATTGAAAACACTCAATTTTTTGGCTTCATATATTTATTTAAGATTAAATACATACGTATCTATTGTCAAAAATATAACCATGAGATTATCTCCACTGGAATTATTATTCGTATTCATACTTTTAGAATTTTGTGTCTAAGATATTCTTCGTGCCCATAGCTGTTTTTTTATGAGTGATGGTGATTTGCATTGTATTAAAACTAAAGGATATGGGATGATGGAATAAATGGCAGAATAAAAAAAAGACTGAATCAAAACAGATGAAGCATGAATCATACTAAAATATGTTCAAAGTAATATATATTTTTTTAGAATTGATCTTTAGTTTTTGGCGATGATTGAACCAAAATTGTCTTTAGAAAAGAAAATTTGTATTTAGCGTGATTTTTCGTAAAGATCAGTTGTTATTTTGAATTTAATTGGAAAGAATATTTTCATTGAATACTTGGACTATTTTTGGGGGGGAAGAAGGGTTCATATAATTTATTAATAAAAGGAATTCAACTATAATAATGAATTTTACCTTACTGAATATAAGAAATAATACATTATTATAATCCAACTTGCCTATTTTCGTGCAAACACATAATCAAAATAAAAGATATCTAGATCTGCTTTAGAAATTAATGATAAATGCCTTATTCCGAATTTGTCTGATCAGACAATATAGACTCCATCCTCCGAAAAATCATTACTTGCCCAAGCAGGCTGATTTGATTCATATTCCCAATCAATTCCCTGATATTTTAATGCGTGCAACCATATCGACAATTGATGTGGTAATGGATCCGGATATTTAACACATCCACATTCATAGAATGATTTTTTCGTTTCTTTTTGATCATGTTTATCATTATCACAAGGATGCTGATTGGAAGTAGAATCATTGATATTATTTATCTCATCATTTCTATTGCTTTCTTCATTAACCATCATCACTTGTTCCTCTTCACCATCATGATCGAGAGTCTCACTTTGGCCTTCCATAGTCAATTTCTCTATTATTTCTTTAGTGAGTTCTAAATCATGTGTAACACCTTCTTTGCCTAAATTTTCTCCCCAGATTCTAGTATTTGCATATAATGGATCGTTTGCAATTGGGTGACCGAGATATTGCAAATGTACTCGGATTTGATGTGTACGACCTGTCAATGGTTTACCTATAAATCCATTAATTAGTTTTTATTTAAATCATGAAAAAATACGCTATCTCCTGTATCTATCTATTTAAACTCACATCTCACCACACTCGTTTTTCTATTATAACTAACTCGTTCAAAGACAGTCGTACATGATTTACCATCCGGATGAACCATATTTAATCCGAGTTTTTGAGAAACAATGCGTATTGGTTTATCACATATGATTTCCCCGCTATACAGTAAATCACACAGCCGTTAATGGTGTATAGAGAAAAGTCAGTGATATTAATATTATTATTGCTTACTCAGGAAATTTCCCAACCACGCGACAAATATACTCTTTTTTGATAGTTTTATCTCGCATTTGTTTTTCTAGTTCTTGTGCCTTTGATTTGTTGAGTGCGAGAATCACGACCCCGGATGTGAGACGGTCCAGTCGGTTTACGGCTAGAATTCAATATATATGTAAATACAAAATATAGTAAATATATATTTAGATTTCAAGACTCACGAAATAGATTCATAAATCCATGCTCTGATCGTAAAATATGAAGAGCTGTGTTGTGTCGATATCTAAGAATTAAATAATTCAATCAAATTTAAAATAAATCAAGTATGCAATGTTTCAATTACACACCTTCCAGTGGGATGAACCTACACAAAATATATAGAAAAAAATATCACCTCTCAAATGTCAAATAAGGGTCATCAAAGCTCAAAAAACACGTACTGGTATACTAGCCGGCTTATCGATAGCCAGAACACCATTATCATTATCAACTTTCAAGATGGCAATCGATTGTCCAGTAACAGGTGGTTCATGTCGATGAATCTCATGTCCTATTATATCTTGATTTCGAATAATAGTCTCTGCGGATACATGGTTTCCGTTTATTGTAATCAAACCTTTGCGAATTGCCGATTTCTGGTTTTACATGATAATTTAAAGAATTAATTAATATGACGCGATGTGAAGTACAATCAGATACAATGGCATATCGATACGTACATAATATTCGGGAGACTGATCACGAAACTCTGTACAAAAAACATTCGAAATACTTTTTCCGATCCATCGACCTTTTGCGTAAGTTTGGAACTCAAAATAGTAAGGTTTAACCTTGCGTAATCCTTTTAAATAAATTTTATCCTGGTACAATCAATTAAAACCATATATTTTCTTACATCTACAGAAAATAATCCAAATAATTATACCTTCTTCAAGGTAATACTCTGCACTCTCCAAACTATGTGTTTGCTTTTTTGTTTTTTTTGAAGGTGTCTTTATTGATGATGTTGAATTCGCTACAACTTTATGTTTTCTTTTCGTAGATTGTGAAGATAAAGAAACCGAGGACGAGGACGAACGAAATGAGTTGATGTCTTCTTTGCTCATTTCTATTTGATTTAATTCATTGTTTTTATCTTTTGAATTATTGCCATCGCTGTCAAACAAGTTTCGTTTCTTTTGTGGTGGTATCGAATCGAACTCTTCTAGAATTACGGGTAAATCTAAATCTGTCGCTATGGTTTCTTCCTCCATTTTTGTTCCTGTGCAGTTAATTTTTATTGTCGAAATCTGATAAACGTGACATTTTAGAAAACTAATTTTATTTAATTGGTTGTTTTTCCAAGCAGACTGAATGTTGCAACAACTTTATTAAGATTTTAGAGATATGAAACCGGCGTTTTATCATTTTAGAAAATGGCAGGATGGAGAACATATATCTAGCCAAACGACACGATAGCACGGATAGAGTTTTCTTTCACGTAAATAAAATGATTCTATTTACAATTTATTTCTAATCAAATTCTTTTATTAAAAATGGGAAAACTAGTAATGTTGGTAATGGCATCTTGGTTTCAAAATGTTTATGTTGATTCCATCTAATTGCTTGTCCAAATAAAGGAAATTCTTGTTGACATATCGATATTACATACGTATTTATTTCCAATTCCTTATTATTATGTGATTCCGAGTTATAGTTTAATTTATTACTTTATTATTTTTAATAAAAAAATAAATATATACATATTTATAATAAATTATCAGAAATCCCAAAAAAAGCATAGTAAAATTGAAATTATCTTTTTATAATGAAAATTTTATTTTTATTAGCAAATATTTTTTGTTTTTATATAGTATCTCAATATCTAATAATTAAATTTGAGTGAAATAATAATATTTTCACTCAAATTTAATTACAGATATTAATTAAAACTAAATTAATCAAATTGATTGAATTAATCAAATTACTAATTAATATTAAATAAATTAATTGAATTGCTAAATTAAAATCAAATTAAATTGTTAAATTAAAATTAAATTACTTAAAATTGAATTATTAAATTAAAACTAGATTATCAAATTAAAATTAAATTATTAAATTAAAATTATATTATCAAATTAAAATTAAATTATTAAATTAAAATCAAATTATCAAATTAAAGTTAATTTTGCTTTAAAGAAATCAAATAATTAAAATAATTATTTAAATTATTTTTGAAAAAAATAGTATTTTAGCAAATAATTCAGTTTTGTTATATTATTTATATATATTAATAAATAGAGTTCTGAAAAAAAATCTGATTCAGTTCAAGCTTGAACTGAACTTGAATCTGATCAAAAGTTCAGTTCAAAAAATTAAATCCAATTAAAAGTTTGGTTCAAGTTCAATTCAAACTTGAATTTAACTCAAACCTAATCAAAAATCCAGTTTGAGTTCAAGTAAATGTTTAATGAAGCTCTGAGTAAAGTTATAAATCTTAATCAAAGCTACAAATTGATATAAAATAGTTAATATTTAGGATAAATATTCAAAAAATTATATAAGTTTTAAAAAATATTTTTAATTATTATAATTTTAATCCACTTTATTTATGGTATAACAAATATTTATTTTGCTATAGTAATTATAAACTATAATTATAAATAAAATTATAGCTAAAAATAAGAATTACAAATTAATATAAGATAGTTGTTATTAAAAATAATTATTTGAAAAATTATATAATATTGTAATTAGATATTTTTATAATCATAAACAATTATTTCACATAATTACTTTACATGATTATTCTAAATGATCACTTCAAATAATTATTTCAAATAATTATTTCAAGCAATTATTCCAACTAATCATTTTAAGTGCTCTAAATAATTATTTTAAATAATTATTTCAAATAATTATTTTAAATACTTCGAACAATTATTTTAAATAATTATTTTATAATTATCAAACACTTATAAATAGAGTATATATTTTATTTTTAGAAAATAACTAAGTTTAAAGTAGTTTTAATTTTATATTCTTTTAATAATTCTTTAGATAATATTTTTATAATCTCTTGTTTTAATTGTGAAGTTATTTTTGTTATTTAATTTATGATTTCTCATTTATATTGTAAAGTTATTCTTTTTATAATCTCTTATTTATATTGTAAAGTTAATAATATATATTTAAATTAATAAAAAAGCTTATATTTTACTTGTTTATAAATTAATTTTAAAAGAATATTTAATTTATTTATAAACTAAATTAAAGAAATATATAATTATTTTTGAATATTTCTAATTTTATTTTAGCTAATCATAAAAATAAATATATATTATCTATTCTTAGTAAACTTAGTATTTTCTTTCACTTTAATTTTATTTAATATATAAACTCTCTTATCTAACTTAATCTTATATGACTTCATATATTTTCTTATATATTTCTATAACAAAGCATAAAATTATATAATAATATAATAATAGTATTTATAATTAAATTTAATAAAGATAAAAATAGAAGTATATTATTTATTACTATATAAATTTTTAATTCTCACTAAATATTATAATTATACTTTTAATTAAAGTTATAGTTTATATTTAGAGTTACAAATCAATTTATAATATTATATACTGATTTTTAATCAAATTCAAATCAGACTCAAATTTGTATAAAAGTTTAGTTTGAGTTCAGTTCAAACTTTAAACTTTGCTTGAAGTTTGATTCGAGTTTAATTCAAATTCAAAAAAAAGTTTGATTTAGTTTAATTTATAGAAATACTATTAATAAATACTTAAAATTATCTAAAAATACTTAGTTTAGTTTGTAAAATTCAAATAATTTCAGAAAATAATTTTGATTACTAATAAAATAAATTGAATTTAATTTTAATAAGTTAATTTGACAAATTATTTAATTAAATAATATAATTTTAGTAATTATTCTTAATAGTAATTATATAATATATACTATTTAAAGTTATCAAATATTTATTTTTTTATAAAATATATAAATTTCTTAATTAAAAAAAAATTCAAAATTTAATTCATAAATATAATAGAATAAATTTTATTTTATTATATTTATGAATTAAATTTTGAATTTTCTTTTTAGTTGAGAAGTTTATATATTTTATAAAAAATAAATTTAGATAGTATATATTATAATAATTAAAAAAATATCATAATTAATATTTAATTAATTTTTATTAAATTTATATATATAATTAGAAATTATATAACAATTAAAAAAATTTTTAATTAATATTTAGTTAATTTCTATTAAATTTATATATATAATTAAAAATTATATATATAATAAATAAAGAAATATTATAATTAATATTTAGTTAATTTTTATTAAATTTATATATATAATTAGAAATTATAATAATTAAAAAATCAGCAATTTTTTTGTACATCAAATTGTATACATTAAAATTCTGATTGGTTAATTTCTATCACATGATCTATTCACTCAATATGTTTGTTCAACATCAACACATAAATTCTGATTGATTGATGATTGACTAATAAGTATATATGTGATTTTTAATTAATTATTGACAATATGTCAGGTAATATGAACCAATGAGAATGTGTAAAATTCGATCAATCCCAGCATGCAAATCTGAAATAAAAGAATATGGATAATAAGATGCTAATAAAAATGTTGGGAAGGTAATTTTATATTATTTAATATCTCGCTAACTCTACGTCCACATTCAATTTTAAATTTATAAATACTTGTAAGCATAAATTAGCAAGCTTACAAATTTATTACTGCTGAATTTTGTTTAATGACTTTTTTATTATTAAAAATTACAAATTATTATACTATATATCAAACTGGAACTAACTTATATAATCGTAGAGTTTATTAGTAAATACAAATCAAAAATAATCTCAATAGAGAATAAAATTATTATGCATTAAAATAATATTGAGAATTTTTAGTAAACCTGTTTGACAATGATTCTAAAGATATTAATGTGTGACTAATTTATATGACATGTTTGCGTTGATATAATAGCAAAGAAAGTAAGTCAACCATTAGAAAGACCCAATCTATTACAGACTGGTATATACTGCGAATTTAAAGATGATATTTGTGCAAACTTATTTGGCTTGAGTTTGACTAGCATGATGTGATTATATCTATGTCATTATAGGATAATAGGTCTTTTGCGAAGACCAGGCTTTTGATCAAATGGTAAGAAAGACAAACTTGCATTAGAATCTGTACCAAATACTATTATTGGAATGTTGAAAGTGTCTGATGCTAGTTGTGCACATTCTGGCGCATAAAACCAATATTCCTGTGAACATCCAGATATCATACACAACAAAACAGCCATTAATCGATTAATGTCATATCCAAGCACATTGTTATAAAAATCTGTTCATTTGATTAAATAAAATCTCATCTTATTTTTGACATCTTGCTAGCGTTCTTCATTCTTAAAGATAGCCATGGCTAGTAATCGAAAACTGCAATTACCATCTCCAATTGGATTATATACCTGCAATATCAAATTTTGAGAAATACATGGATCAGGCTTTATGTCAGCCAAGTGCAGCATCATATCATTATTTGTTTTTCGCTTCTTTAAAGATACTTTATTTTCTTTCTCTTCTGTATCATGGATACGTCTGTTATTAGAAGAGCGACCATGTGTACATTTTCCTTTGGACATCTTAATATTGTCACTATTTGTTGCATTATCAATGCTAATCATTTTCAAAATCTTTTGTCGCGCAATATTTGACTTACTTTGTAACAGTTTTAGCACTTTACCAGTCTCAAGAATATATTCTGAAGTATGTTTCATCAAATCTAAGAAGTTATTATGATGATATTTTGGTAACTGCCTGAAAATTTGTGTGACAAGTAGAGGAACCTGATTTGTGATATGCTCTACTTTTGTGACATGTTGTACATACCAATACTCATGAATCTCATTTGGTAGTACACAGATATGCAAATACTGTAAATATACTGCGATAATATATTTACATGGAGTTCTAGTACGTCGTAAATATAAATATGTGCAGGTGCTTGAAGCTTTAAAATTTACCACATACGTTAATTTTTTCTGATTGCTAATTTGTGTTATGTTGTATATACTCTCTCCATATTCAAGCACCTCATACTTAGCTGACTTTGCAAGATCACCTTGTTGCTTCACAAATGATTCGAATACAAATCACGAGCATATTAAACATAATTCTTCCAGACCCATATCTGAACTATCCTGTGTATTTCTATTTTGATGCAAAAATGTTTCATATGCAAGTTTTTGGGAGTGCTCTTGTAGTTATCACCAAAGAATCGACAACATTCTGTTGACTGGAATAATACGATTTTTAACACCCTTTAACTTACTATGAAGACTTTCAACACGCTGATTTGATTTTATGTCAAGGTTTATATTACCATTTGTATATGGTGCAAGCCAACTTTCTTTATGCTGCATCCATGTCTCAAGCATATATATTTTTGCATTTGGAAATCATTTTCACAATCCTGTTATCTCTTGATCGATCTGATTTACTGAAAGATCATTATACACAAGCCTTTGAGTAGCCTGAATAAATTCATCTATTTCAACAATTTTTCTGAGCTTGTTCTGAATGTTTTTAAAAATATGCCAGACGCACAACTGATGTCTTGCATGAGGGAATACTGAAGAAATTGCTGTCATAAGAGTCAATTCTCGATCAGTTATGAAAGTTGTCACCTGTGCATCACCTATTAATTTAGTAAACACTCGACTTAATTGTTGCATTACCCAATAATAAAAATCATAGGTCTCCGAGTAAACAAGTGCAAAGGCTAGTAAATATGTTGATCTGAAATGATCAATGTTACAAATGGCAATTAAAGGCATTGAAAATCTGTTTGTCTTATATGTCGCGTTAATTAGCAGAACATTTTTTGCTATTGAAAACTCAGAAATTGCACTATAATATGTTCAGAAGATTGCTTAAATGAATGCCCCATCTTGATCACGTTCGTCATTATGTGCAGCTTTTGTCACTACATTGCCTATAATATTTTCATCATTTTGTAAAGTTTTAAACAGTATCTCAATTTCATTCAAATCTTGTAATTTGCACTGATGCTGATGGCTCACAGCATTATAGACATCAGACTTATAAATATACTTCGAGCTAACAGAATTTAGTACTGAAAATATATTCTTAGTCCGAAGATTATCATTGTGAAACTTTTCAATTAGATCAAGATTATTTTGATCAAATTTACGCATGACAGTGTTGAATTTTGTGACATCCAGACAAAAATCATGATTATGCTCTAAATATAACTTTGTTATTATGAATTCTTGGGCTCTTTTGCGATAATTTACTCCTACAGAAAAAGGACACCCAGTTCGCTTGATGGTATGTTTCTCGTTCTTTTCACTAGACTTCCCTTGTTTTTCATAGACAAAGAATGCCTACCTATAGTCACTACTGTTAGGATTTTTGGATGTCTTTCCTAAAATTAAAACAGCATTAGTTTTTGCAGCATATCTTTCAATAACCACGTGAACTTCAGCAAACGTAAGGAAAATGCGTCCAATTTCTGGAATGTCAGTTTCTATTATAGTGTCACCATTTGATATTTTGGATCACATATAAAATATCATGTGACATATTTTGATAATTATTTATATTTTCTTTTATATTTTTCTATTTATAATTTTATTTTTAATTAATTATTAATTATTTAATTTATCTAATTT